AAGACATAAGTTTGAACCCCATGGGTAGTGCAGGCAATAGACGAGGGTATTGTACACAATTCTCCTTATTATAATTCTATGTCCACTAATCTTCCAAGATTACCATGGGTTGAAGAACTGAATGTGGCAACTTTCAGGATGACAAATATGCATATATTTAGATGGCTTTCTTTCATTCCCTAATAATCAAACCAAATCACATTTTATTTGTCACATGCGCAGAGTACAACAGGTGTAGACCTTACCGTGAAATGCTTACTTACAAGCCCTTAACCAACAATGCAGTTCAAGAAATAGAGTTAAGAAAATATTTACCAAATAAACTAAAGTAAAAAATTATAAAAAGTAACACAATAAAATAACAATAACGAGGCTATATACAGGGGGTACCGGTACCGAGTCAATGTGCGGGGGTACAGGTTAGTCGAGGTAAATTGTACATGTAGGTAGTGGTAAAGTGACTATGCATAGATAATAAACAGCGAGTAGCAGCAGTGTAAAAACAAAGGGGGGGCGGGGCACTGATCTTCGACCATGAAGGCCTGATTCACACAGTCTCTTCTGAACAGTTGATGTTGAGATGCGTCTGTTACTTGAACTCTGTGAAGCATTTATTTGGGCTGCAATTTCTGAGGCTGGTAACTCTAATGAACTTATCCTCTGCAGCAGCGGTAACTCTGGGTCTTCCATTCCTGTGGCGGTCCTCATGAGAGCCAGTTTCATCATAGCGCTTGATGTCTTTTGTGACTGCACTTGAAGAAACTTCATGTCTTAAAGTAATGATGGACTGTTGTTTCTCTTTGCTTATTTGAGCTGTTCTGGCCATAATATGGACTTGGTCTTTTACCAAATAGGGCTATCTTCTGTATGCCCCTCCTACCTTGTCACAACACAACTGATTGGCTCAAACACATTAAGAAGGAAATAAATTCCACAAATGAACTTTTAACAAGGCACACCGGTTATTTATTTATTTTATTTATTTATTTATTTCACCTTTATTTAACCAGGTAAGCCAGTTGAGAACAAGTTCTCATTTACAACTGCGACCTGGCCAAGATAAAGCAAAGCAGTGCGATAAAAACAACAACACAGAGTTACATATGGGGTAAAACAAAACATAAAGTCAAAAATACAACAGAAAATATATTTACAGGGTGTGCAAATGTAGCAAGTTATGGAGGTACGGCAATAAATAGGCTATAGTGCAAAATAATTACAATTAGTATTAACAATGGAATGATAGATGTGCAAGAGATTATGTGCAAATAGAGATACTGGGGTGCAAATGAGCAAAATAAATAACAATATGGGGATGAGGTAGTTTGGTGGGCTAATTTCAGATGGGCTGTGTACAGGTGCCGTGATCGGTAAGATGCTCTGACAACTGATGCCTAAAGTTAGTGAGGGAGATAAGAGTCTCCAGCTTCAGAGATTTTTGCAATTCATTCCAGTCATTGGCAGCAGAGAACTGGAAGGAATGGCGGCCAAAGGAGGTGTTGGCTTTGGGGATGACCAGTGAGATATACCTGCTGGAGCGCATACTATGGGTGGGTGTTGCTAAGGTGACCAATGAGCTAAGATAAGGCGGGGATTTGCCTAGCAGTGATTTATAGATGGCCTGGAGCCAGTGGGTTTGGCGACGAATATGTAGTGCGGACCAGCCAACAAGAGCGTACAGGTCACAGTGGTGGGTAGTATATGGGGCTTTGGTGACAAATTGAAATGCATTCCAGGTGACTACCTCATGAAGCTGGTTGAGAGAATGCCAAGAGTGTGCAAAGCTGTCATCAAGGCAAAGGGTGGCTATTTGAAGAATCTTAAATATAAAATATATTTTGATTTGTTTAACACTTTTTGGTTACTACATGATTTCATGTGTTATTTCATAGTTGTGATGTCTTCACTATTATTCTACAACGTAAAAATAAAGAAAAACCCTTGAATGAGTAGGTGTGTCCAAACCTTTGACTGGTAGTGTATTTAATTGCAAAAAGAATGTGGGGAGAAAATAAATGTTTTCTCACAAAAGTAGTGCACTAGGCCTTTAATAGTCCTGTATTAGCGGACCGATATAGCCGTCAGCAGCACAGGCAAAAACCTTTATTTTGGCCAGAAAATGGGATGGTTTTCAGTGGTTGAATCAAATTTATTAAGAATGCGAGTTAGCCACACCTGCAGAGCGAGTTAGGCGACTGAATTAGGTAAGTCTGAATACTGAGAAGTGCATAGGAAAGGCATACATTTTCTACTTCTGAATCGTTCCCATGTGCACTGGCAATGAATCTGTGTGCAGACAGAGAATGGCAAACAAGAATCGATTTGGTGGTACACAAAAAAACTATGAAAGGACTTTCTCCTCATGGGACAGTGAGGCAGGCTGGGTTTGGTATGTCGGGCCGTCCTGACCAGCCAACATGGAATGCCAGTGTATTCCTGCTGCTAGGCCCTTAATCCGGGACCTTTGTCTGCGGCCCTGTCGGGGCCCCCGGGTCCACTCCCCAGCCTGGAAGCGGGACAGATTCTTGTCTCTTCATGGCCTGCCTGGGTATTATGGAAGCGTTCCACCATGACATCATGGTTCTATTCTGTTCTGATGAAACGGCGACGGCTAGCTTCAGCCTGGTCACCAGATCCTCTACAGTCGTGGTCAAAAGTTTTGAGAATGACACAAATACTAATTTTCACAAAGTCTGCTGCCTCAGTTTTGATGATGGCAATTTGCATATACTCCAGAATGTCATGAAGAGTGATCAGATGAATTGCAATTAATTGCAAAGTCCCTCTTTGCCATGAAAATGAACTTAATCCCAAAAGAACATTGCCACAAAAGCCCTGCCACAAAAGCACCAGCTGACATCATGTCAGTGATTCTCTCGTTAACACAGGTGAGAGTGTTGACGAGGACAAGGCTGGAGATCACTCTGTCATGCTGATTGAGTTAGAATAACAGACTGGAAGCTTTAAAAGGAGGGTGGTGCTTGAAATCATTGTTCTTCCTCTGTTAACCATGGTTACCTGCAAGGAAACACGTGCCATCATCATTGCTTTGCACAAAAAGGGCTTCACAGGCAAGGATATTGCTGCTTGTAAGATTGTACCTAAATCAACCATTTATTGGATCATCAAGAACTTCAAGGAGAGAGGTTCAATTGTTGTGAAGAAGGCGTCAGGGTGCCCAAGAAAGTCCAGCAAGCGCCAGGACCGTCTCCTAAAGTTGATTCAGCTGCGGGATCGGGGCACCACCAGTGCAGAGCTTGCTCAGGAATGGCAGCAGGCAGGTGTGAGTGCATCTGCATGCACAGTGAGGCGAAGACTTTTGGAGGATGGCCTGGTGTCAAGAACAAAACAACTAAAATGTATGCATTCATTAACTGTAAGTCGCTCTGGATAAGAGCGTCTGCTAAATGACTAAAATGTGAATGTAAAATGTAAGAAGGGAAGCAAAGAAGCCACTTCTCTCCAGGAAAAACATCAGGGACAGACTGATATTCTGCAAAAGGTACAGGGATTGGACTGCTGAGGACTGGGGTAAAGTCATTTTCTCTGATGAATCCCCTTTCCGATTGTTTGGGGCATTCGGAAAACACCTTGTCCGGAGAAGACAAGGTGAGCACTACCATCAGTCCTGTGTCATGCCAACAGTAAAGCATCCTGAGACCATTCATGTGTGGGGTTGCTTCTCAGCCAAGGGAGTGGGCTCACTCACAATTTTGCCTAAGAACACAGCCATGAATAAAGAGTGGTACCAACACATCCTCTGAGAGCAACTTCTCCCAACCATCCAAGAACTGTTTGGTGACGAACAATGCCTTTTCCAGCATGATGGAGCACCTTGCCATAAGGCAAAAGTGATAACTACGTGGCTCAGGGAACAAAACATCGACATTTTGGGTCCATGGCCAGGAAACTCCCCAGACCTTAATCCCATTGAGAATTTGTGGTCAATCCTCAAGAGGCGGGTGGACAAACAAAACCCCACAAATTCTGACAAACTCCAAGCATTGATTATGCAAGAATGGGCTGCCATCAGTCAGGATGTGGCCCAGAAGTTAATTGACAGCATGCCAGGGCGGATTGCAGAGGTCTTGAAAAAAAGGGGTCAACACTGCAAATATTGATTCTTTGCATAAACTTAATGTAATTGTCAATAAAAGCCTTTGACACTTATGGAATGCTTGTAATTATACTTCAGTATACCATAGTAACATCTGACAAAAATATCTCATAACACTGAAGCAGCGAACTTTGTGAAGACCAATACTTGTGTCATTCTCAAAACGTTTGACCACGACTGTACAATTGGTTGTCATACCATGCTGTTGGTATGTTTGTCATGACAACAAACACAACAGGATGCAAAGGTGTGTGTTGACTCATTACAATGTTAGGTTAGCAACAGAATATGCAGTAGTATACTATGTCAATGATGTAATTTTCTCTTCAGTGATTTGTTGAAAATCTTTTTTTTTAAACTCATTTTCAAATATACGATACACCTACATGATGAGAGCAGCTTAGGCTGAACAGGGTGCTGTTGTGTACGGTGTTGGTGTACTTCGTAGTTTGTGAAGGATGTCAGTACATCCTCACCACTTCAATTACAGTTTATCTTCAATCCACAGAGGTTAAGATCAGGTCATTCTGTGTAGAAGAGGAAATGATTTGATGGCCTAATCATCACCACAGCATCCTCTCAATTTTTCAATGTAGGCTACTGTGCTGACAGATAAACACCATATCTGACCTCTAATCTTTTTCTGTTATTCATTTCTTTTTTGGAAGATCAATTTGGTCGGGATTCAGTCAAAGGCCCGTTGCAGGCTGTGCACTGCACTACCAACAATGCGCCTTTTAAAGGCAATTTCCTAGATGTTTGTGGAGATCAATTCATGCTAAATGCTGCAGAGATGTTGGCTCAAGCGTAAATTATATTTTGAAGGCAAGCGCAATGCACTTGTCGACAACAAGCCTTTGAATGAATCCCGAACTTTGCCCCTTCACACGTCTAAGTCAGGTTTGTTTTTGATCTGTTCCTGCAGATCCGTGCAGTGGTGGAGGAGGAGTTTACCTTCTCCCAGGTGCCCCAGGCCATGCTGAAGGTAGAGCAGGGTCACGCTCGGGGGAAGACTGTAGTCAAGATCAGCAGCGGAGAGGACTCATCCGAGTAACCAGTGAAATACTCCACCACCACCACAGGGCTTAAGGTTTTCCTGAGGCATCCATTATGAGACATTTCTAAGGGACAAGAGATGATCCTTTATGACCGTCTGTGCTAAGGCTATGATTGTGTGTCTGTCTTAGAATAGGCTGCCTGTTGTAGCTATGTGATAAGTAAAGTTAATTCAAGTCCTTGTGATCTTCATTGAAAGTGTAATTGAGATTCTTCGCCATAGTAACACCAATCAAGAAAACAAACGCATCCATTTTTTTGTAGATGGTAACAGCATTTTGTTGACATATTTACATTTAAGACAGTGGTTAGCATGATATTGTAGCAGTGTTGAAATTGATATTTAATCATTCAACAAAATCTATACACCTGTTGCAGCAAATGTACTGTGCAGTGATGTCTGTAGTAAAGTAGTAAAATATTAATCCAATATTAATTTGACTTCAAAAGACCTGAAAAAACATTACACAACATTATTTGGAGAAGTTAAGGAGTGTTCATCTATGACATTAAGAATGTGTGGCCATAGAACAATAAGTGTGCTAAAAAATATATACATTTACAACATTTTTGTGTAAGAAAACAGACATCTCAGTAATTGACTGGTAAAGTACCATAGAAAAGAGATTTGTGGATAAAATCAGCATTAACACAGGGCTTAAGTCATTGTAAATTATATGAATACAGTAGAGACACTAGCGCATTCCCATACAGTTATTCTTTGGCATGGTCAATGAGAGGTAAGTGAACAAATGAATTGTGGTATTTGTACAGCATCATCAAGTCCTCACAGTAGAATGTAGTGCTCCTTGCTCAATATATAGTTCTATAGCCGCATGTATTAAAATGCAGTGCTCCTTGCTTGATAGATAGTTCTATAGCCGTGTGTAGTTTTGTCTTCAGAGTTGTATTTCACAAAGACAGTTTGGAATTTATGCTCTCATGCTCAACAAATGTTGCAGAATGTCTCGAGGCCCACTGCAGACCAGCATCACAGAGCACTAAGGCCCATGGAGTAACTTCATCAAGAAGCAAGAGTATGGGTCCCACGGTAGAGCTGCTGTGGAAGAGCAATGGTCAGATTGATATGCCATTACAGGATCTCCAAAGACCATCTTTGGGTGTGTTTTCTCTCATCAAATGTGTTGAGAATCACTTGAGTTTTGTCATAACTTTGTCCACCTGTGAAAAGAAGACATAATACAGTTAAAATTCCACTCCAGGATCTTAAGCACAACAAATGCGTAACATATTATACGAATTGCAAAAAAAAAAAGTGCACAGGACATAACATATATGAAATGGATGATGAGGTACACAATTTGATGACCTAGTACACAAAACGGGGACCACTTTTGGCTCGTGAGCACCACTTTCAAAATTACTGGCTGAAATTATACAAAAGTTTGAGAGTGCATCTTTAATCTTTAGGTTTGGTGTAGGCTACCTATTCAATAGTTTGAGGATGTGGCAACAGGTGGGTAATGCAAAGAACTACACTTCCTAAACCTACCACCAGATGGAGCTAGATGATAACTATGGAGACTGAGCTGAACGTCAGAGCTCCTACCTTTGTAGATCTTTGCTAATGAGAGTAAGGCTAGCTGAGAGAGAGACAAGAAGAGCGGATCTGACCTTTAACCTCCAGCACCAGGTCAGGTTTGAGGTGGCATCTGACCAGGCCGTCTGGGGTAATGTTCCACAGCTGGTTGTCTTTCCCTTGCTCCGGAGGAGACACACTCAGCCTGCTGCCCGCCATAACAATGCTCCCTGATGTCTGCAGGCAACAGTCCTCCACCAGCTATAGAGACAGGGAATATGGGTTCAGATGTGGGTGGATTCTGTATTGAATACAAACTGACAAGCATGGTACAGAAAGTTTCATTTGATTTTATATGAGAGATAAATTACAATTGCACTGGGATATGCTCAGCACGTGACATGAAACTATGTTGAAAGAATGAGGAAGCCAGTTCTGGAATGCATGAAGTTGGTGGCGATGGAATGAGTCGAAATGATGATCCAGTGCAAAGACTTGAGCCCATGAAGTACCTTGCAGCGTAGGACTCCGTCATGGTAGATCCAGACCTGGTCCACTCCCCCTGTCTCCTCCAGGGCCTGGACCCGCAAAAGCTTGATTTCATCCAGAGGCCCTGACAGGGACATCACATAGCCTGTCTCCCTGCTCCGTAAACGGAAGTACACCTGCTTCTGTAGAGGGCAACAGGCAAACAACACACATAACATTAGCTTGACTACGCTAGATAAGAGTTCTTCTCACCTGATAGTGGTCATTATGAGTCATAGGGCCAAATCCTAACTTCAGGTGGCTGCATATAATTTGCATTATGGGGTAATTCATGCATTGATGACAAAATGAGATTAGTGCAAACATTGAGTTGTGTACACAGATCTCATGTTAGGATGCAGTCCATTGACTGTTGTTTAGCTATAGGGAAAACTGTATTGGACAGACAGCAATATGTGATTCTAAAACGGAACCATGCCCCGCCTCCATACCTGCAATAGTGGTCGCAGGGATCCGATTCGCGGCCAGCTGCTGAACTTGCACCAATCACCCAGTTCGCTTGGCGGTAGCAGGATCTGACGGCCACGGTGGTTACTACCCTCATACAACACCCAACTGTAGGGCAGGAGAAATCAATCACACACAGTCAGTTGGTCTTCTTATTCAAAATCTCTAACACACCTCAAATGTAAACAATCAAGCTTCCTACACCATTTCTGTTTACAATAGCCCAGCAAAACTATGGGCTCTATTCAATCCGTATCGTGGAAGTTCAGCTTTACAGTGTGATTAAATTTAAAGGCAATGCTCCCGCGTTAGCGGAGACCGCATTCACGGTAAACACTGCATATGTCAGCTCAATCGGAAATAACATTTACATTTATATTGCGCAATCTGAGCCCTAGTTGATGGTTTATTAGGTGCTTAGACAGTGCTTCAACCAACCAAGATGAATTGTAGATGCAACTCTTGCTTTAAAATGTTATGTTTGTTTTATCGCCTAATAAAAATGGTCAAATCTATGCAGGTATGACTTACATTCCTCCGTGGATCACCATGGAGTGTATACGTCTGTCCACCCCAGCCAGCTGCAGGTTCACTGCCTCTCCAGTCAGCACCACCCTACGGCCTCTACAGCCAACCTTACTGAACAACGTTATGGATGGGAGGGAGAACTCCTGGAGAGACAAGGGGGAAGGGGTGGGTGGGTAAAACGTGAGCTTATACATTATTACGGTATTGTAGGTACAGGACATCTCCAAGATATGCAGTCACTTTACACAGACATGACTTAGGTTTACAAATACTGTACGCATGCATACCATGCTAACGCACATAATCCCCTCTGTACTCACATGGCTGATGGTCTGTATGGAGCGGATGGTAGAGTCAGGACCCAGACAGCCCATTGACTCAGTGTTGGGGTAATCTCCCTCCTCCAGGACATACATGTGCTCTGTGAACTGGGATCCTTCATATGCCACCCAGCTGGAACATACGCACAGAGGCACACAGTCAACAACAGCTCTCTCCAGTACTAAGTCCTCTTTGAGTGTTCAGAGGGCTCTTGGACAATGTCTTCGTCAACAGATATAAAAGGAAAGCTCACAATTTCAGTATTTTTTGTACCTATCAAAAGTACAGTATTGTTGTTTACATGCTGCATTTAAAGCGGATGTTGTGCTCACCTCCCAGCCAGTACTCTACAGGAGCCAGGGGAGAAGTCTTCCTCCAGGGCTACCACACTGTCCTCCAGTACCACAACTCTGCCCTGGAACCCAGGCTCTGAGAACAGCTGGACCTACAGTACATACACAGGAGACAGACATGAGACGGGCCCACCATAATGTACAGTGGATTACAGGTGTGTAGTGGTGCATGGAGAAGTGGGTATACTCTAATTTTGCCCAACATTTCCCAAACGGCCCACCCGGCAAAGGAAAGGTGCCATGTGTGAAAAATTATATGAGAAACAGTGACATACAGTCTGAATGACCTAAAATGATAAATCCCATATTGGTCTTTCACAGTCAGGCCAACCCAAGCTGTACAAGTAGGCCTACTATTGAATCAGATAAATTAGGCTGTCAACTGAGTCAGAAATTCACAATTTTAATAGAAAAACTACAACATTGGATGTTCTAAGTCCACAATAATGCTTAAACCACATCAGGACACCACTTTTGATGCCTGGGAAAAATAGAAGAAATGTTTTATATTTTGTGTAGTTACCCTTTAATGAAAGTGCTCGGGCACCTAACACTGTTGTTTGGTTAGTAGTGTTTTTTTTGTAGAACATGAGATGGAGTTTGCAAAACAAATGGCCACAGGATTGATGCAAATAATCATGACATCATTCTGCCATAGGCTACTTTGTAGCTAGTTAACATTTCATTGAGAAGGTTTTTGGGAAAGCATTTCCATCTACCACAGGGGTGTCAAACTCATTCCATGGAGGGCCGAGTGTCTGCGGGGTTTTGTTTTTTCCTTTCAATTAAGCCCTACACAATCAGGTGAGGGGAGTTCCTTACTAATTAGTGACCTTAATTCATCAATCAAGTACAAGGGTGGAGCAAAAATCTGCAGACACTCGGCCCCCCGTGGAATGAGTTTGACACTAGATCTACCAGAAGACGGTTAGGTTTATCATTAGCGTCGCTATTTTTTTCCTGTTCCTTAATTGTTTGAAACCTAGACGTTTTACTTCATATTATGGAGGCATGTCTGACCTTGCTTCAAAGTAGCCTATAGCTAAAATCCCACCATAGAAACTTGGAGGCAATTATTTTATAAAGACTTCCTCATATGCTTTCTCCTGTTCTATTGGTTTTCTTTCAACTTTATTTCATTATCTAGCAGCTAAAGGCATTATCCTAGTCATTTTAGCAACCCATGATAGTTGTTGCATCTTTAGATCTCACCTCTCTAAATTTCTAACAGATATTTCCATCTCTGTCCATGAAACCACTCGCACATGTGGTATGCATTTTAGAACAGTGTTTTCCCACAAATTGCATTTTGGAACATTTGCACCGTTCTAGGGCTACCGCCGTGTGCACATTGCTGCGCTGAAAATGTGAAGAAATAATAGTTTATCAACATTTTGCACTACTCTGGTACGTATCAGTGGCGATTAAGAAGTGAGTATGCGCAATGCCCACTGAAAAATAAGTGGGTATACGGCGTATACCTGCTTATACCCTCCACTACACCACTGCAGGTAGGCTACTCTTCATGCAAACTGATGGTATAATCACTACCATACACTATTGACTATGTTAAGATAGTGATAAACAAATATTATTAACTAACTATCTAAACTTACCTTGAACTTGCTTGATCCACCCAGGTTATCCTGAAAGTAATAAAGAAGGAATTCTAGATTATATTCTTTATTGTCACTGGATAAACCAGTTCAAAGTATCCTCACCAACCTCATAACTTATCAGAGTCATGCAAGTAAAATCTTAGTATGATCCTATAAAGGTGGTACTACTGTGATTATTATTGTACAACAGCTTTCCCTAGTCCACCAATTAACAGTTCCTGGACAAGTTCTATTTACCTGGAACACTGGCTGCAGTGAGGAGATCTTGAGGTTCTGTCCTCCCCAGTCCTCTGGGCTTCCGTAGAGGCCCTTCTCTAGAACGTAGAGCTCTCCGGAGAACACTGGGTTCTCAAAGGCAACCCACCTGTTTAGAGCACACACACAACAGGTTGGAACTGGTAAATTAACACTTACAGTAAGTAGGACACCCCATAATACTGTACCATTTTACAATATAACATAATTCCCTTCCGTATTACATAAACTTTAAACAGGCGGTCTGAATATGATCATTATGGGCCTTATCATTTCACTGTAGTCTCTAGTCCTCTAACATTACATGTTTATAATTTAAATCACTAGCTGTAAATCCATTATATTCCTAACCAAACCACCAGCCCTGGCATTAGATGTTTATAACTTAAATCACTAGCTCTAGCTCCATACTAACCAAACAAACTGCCCTGGCATTTTGAATGACCATAAAACAATTAGTGAATAAACAGTAGAAGGTTATAAAAAGAGATTATGTAAAGGTTATCCCCATTCAGTGGTTCATTCTGAACTACATAAGATTTACGATTATGCTCTACGAGGCCGATTCCAATTTAAGAATTTACGCCTTTCCTACGCACTTCTCAGTATTTGGTATTCAGACTTAACTTATTCAGTCGGGTAATTCGCTCTGCAGGTGTGGCTACCTTGCACGCTCTGAATACATTTCATTCAACCGCTGAAAACCCTCCCACTTGCCCACAGTTTTTCTCTTGGAGTTTTCATTCAATAGGGTTTTCAGTACATTTATCTTAAGCCATCACTTTAAATACGGTGTACCTTTTAGTTAGAATTTTGGCGACAGACTCGAGAGAACAGGTTCAGAATATTAGGGTTCAATGAAAGAAAAACATCTAAATATATGCATACTCGTCTCCGTTTCAGCACCAATTGGTAGATTTATAAATACTCGGATCTTGTAGATTATTTAGGTTTAGGAAAGTATTTATGAATCATAAAAACTGGATTGGAGAGCCTTTATACACTAAATAAAGAAAAATGTGGTTTGATTCATTCTGAAAATTGCCACATTCAGTTATTCAACCCATGGTAATGTTAGAAGGTTAGTGAACATAGAATTATAATATATATATATTTTTTAGTCATTTAGCAGACGCTCTTATCCAGAGCGACTTACAGTTAGTGAATACATTTTCTTTTTTTTTTACTGGCCCCCCGTGGGAATCGAACCCACAACCCTGGCGTTGCAAACGCCATGCTCTATCAACTGAGCTACATCCCTGCCGGCCATTCCCTCCCCTACACTGGGCCAATTGTGCGCCGCCCATGAGTCTCCCGGTCGCGGCCGGCTGCGACAGAGCCTGGATTCGAACCAGGATCTCTAGGGGCACAGCTAGCACTGCGATGCAGTGCCTTAGACCACTGCGCCACTCAGGAGAATAGTGTACAATAGTGTACAATAGTAGGCTATACCCTTGTCTATTGCCTGTACTAACCATGGAACTGTGTGATGACACAGCCAAGTATTGCGCCATGTGTCGGCTTCAAACTGTTACGGCTTGGTCTGCGCTCAATAACGATTTAATTAGCCTACATATCTTTTTGTTAACATTATCAACTGTTACTAATGATCCTCAGCAACAACCATACAGCCGTGACGGCGTTTACAGAGGAAGTAAATTACGTTAAACGAAACAATGTAATTAAATGTAGCTGTAGCTCAGCTGGTAGAGCACGGCACTTGTAAAGCCAAGGTAGTGGGTTCGATCCCCGGGACCACCCATACACAAAAATTGTTTTATGCACGCATGACTGTAAGTCGCTTTGGATAAAAGCGTCTGCTAAATGGCATATTATTTATATTATAAATGGAATGATAATGTAGGCTATACCAACTGAAGGGAACTAATACTAAATTGGCAGTTAAATATGTGTGGTTATTAGGCCTACTGACAGTCAATAATGAAAGTGGCTAATATTTAACATAATAGAAATACAGTGGGGGAAAAAAGTATTTAGTCAGCCACCAATTGTGCAAGTTCTCCCACTTAAAAAGATGAGAGAGGCCTGTAATTTTCATCATAGGTACACGTCAACTATGACAGACAAATTGAGAAAAGAAAATCGGGAAAATCACATTGTAGGATTTTTAATGAATTTATTTGCAAATTATGGTGGAAAATGAGTATTTGGTCACCTACAAACAAGCAAGATTTCTGGCTCTCACAGACCTGTAACTTATTCTTTAAGAGGCTCCTCTGTCCTCCACTCGTTACCTGTATTAATGGCACCTGTTTCAACTTGTTGTCAGTATAAAAGACACCTGTCCACAACCTCAAACAGTCACACTCCAAACTCCACTATGGCCAAGACCAAAGAGCTGTCAAAGGACACCAGAAACAAAATTGTAGACCTGCACCAGGCTGGGAAGACTGAATCTGCAATAGGTAAGCAGCTTGGTTTGAAGAAATCAACTGTGGGAGCAATTATTAGGAAATGGAAGACATACAAGACCACTGATAATCTCCCTCGATCTGGGGCTCCACGCAAGATCTCACCCGTGGGGTCAAAATGATCACAAGAACGGTGAGCAAAAATCCCAGAACCACACGGGGGGGACCTAGTGAATGACCTGCAGAGAGCTGGGACCAAAGTAACAAAGCCTACCATCAGTAACACACTACGCCGCCAGGGACTCAAATCCTGCAGTGCCAGACGTGTCCCCCTGCTTAAGCCAGTACATGTCCAGGCCCGTCTGAAGTTTGCTAGAGTGCATTTGGATGATCCAGAAGAGGATTGGGAGAATGTCATATGGTCAGATGAAACCAAAATAGAACTTTTTGGTAAAAACTCAACTCGTCGTGTTTGGAGGACAAAGAATGCTGAGTTGCATCCAAAGAACACCATACCTACTGTGAAGCATGGGGGTGGAAACATCATGCTTTGGGGCTGTTTTTCTGCAAAGGTACCAGGACGACTGATCCGTGTAAAGGAAAGAATGAATGGGGCCATGTATCGTGAGATTTTGAGTGAAAACCTCCTTCCATCAGCAAGGGCATTGAAGATGAAACGTGGCTGGGTCTTTCAGCATGACAATGATCCCAAACACACCGCCCGGGCAACGAAGGAGTGGCTTCGTAAGAATCCAGATCTCAACCCCATAGAAAACAGGGAGTTGAAAATCTGTGTTGCCCAGCGACAGCCCAAAAACATCACTGCTCTAGAGGAGATCTGCATGGAGGAATGGGCCAAAATACCAGCAACAGTGTGTGAAAACCTTGTGAAGACTTACAGAAAACTTTTGACCTGTGTCATTGCCAACAAAGGGTATATAACAAAGTATTGAGAAACTTTTGTTATTGACCAAATACTTATTTTCCACCATAATTTGCAAATAAATTCATTAAAAATCCTACAATGTAATTTTCTGGATTTTTCTTCTCATTTTGTCTGTCACAGTTGACGTGTACCTATGATGAAAATTACAGGCCTCTCTCATCTTTTTAAGTGGGAGAACTTGCACAATTGGTGGCTGACTAAATACTTTTTTTCCCCACTGTAGGAGACAGAGAAAGTCGAGGTAACCTTCAATTAAGACATTTGAGAGTGCCCATCGCTGCTTGTTAAAAGGCCGTACACTTGAAATTCTGCATACTGGCACAGCATTTCATAAACTTTAATGTGGGAAAGTTGATATGTTGATATGCTTCAGTTTACTGCCACATGACTGGTTTCACATTAGTCTCCAGCAATTATAAGGTCAAATAGATCTAAAACAAGTGTAATTTAGGCCTATATTTACAATTCCCTTATCCAAACGGATTACTCATTTATCTTGCTCTCATCAATAGCACTTACCGAGTTCTAAATTACAGTGCATGGAGAATTGTGGTGTAAAGGTGGTAGAATTATTTAGGAATTAAGTCAAGGTCAGAATACACCTCTGCCACACCTTGATTTCTTAGATCTCCAACCTTAATGAATAGTAGGTTAATAGCATGCTATTCTCATGTTTAAGGTCAAAATACACATAGAAAGAAAAGTGCATAGAAAGGGAATTATGTTCCATTTATATGTGCTTAACTTGGGTCAGAATCGGGCCCTACATAACTAGATAGTTTGGAAAGATACATTCAAATGAAAGTTCTAAGTTCATTCTAACACAGAGACTTTCATGATAGTTTATGAACCACTGAGACAACTGATTATACCGTATATAAAAGAGCTCCGGCATCCATCCCGCTAATAGCCAATGAAGCTCAAGGTGATTAAATGAATGTCTGGAACATTGCCACTCCCTTCGAAAAATGTACAAAGCTTATACGGTTTTAATACTGACTCCAGGATTGTGCCTTTACACCCTAATCTCATCTTTAAGAATATATAGCCCTAGAGAGCACTCTCATTTCTTCACCCATTGTCACGATCGTCGAACACAGTGGACCAATGTGCAGCGTGATTTGCGAACATACTTATTTTATTAGAGTACCACACGAACAAAACAACAAAACGATACGTGACGTCCTTGGTAACAGACACTAACCATACACGGAACAAGATCCCACCAAACACTGTGGCAAACAGGCTGCCTAAGTATGGTTCCCAATCAGAGACAACAAGCAACAGCTGATACTTGTTGCCTCTGATTGAGAACCACCCCGGCCAACACAGAAACACAAGAGCTAGATAATAAACCTAGAACACAAAACACATAGAAACAACACACCCTGGCTCAACATAACAGAGTCCCAGAACCAGGGCGTGATACCCATTGTCTAACCTTCAGTATTACTTTACTAAGCGTGACAATCACACCTCTCTTTCATGTTTGTGCCCTCCAGTGCTGTGTGTGTGAGTGTGTGTTCATTAAAAGCTTGCGATCAGAGGATAGGAGTGACCCACATTTTGTTACGTTACAGCCTTATTCTAAAATTGATTTAAAAAATAATAATCCTCAGCAATCTACACACAATATCTCATAATGACAAAGCGAAAACAGTAATAAATTAAATAAAAATACCTTATTTACATAAATATTCAGACCCTTTGCTATGAGACTCGAAATTGAGCTCATGTGCATCCTGTTTCCATTGATCATCCTTGAGACGTTTCTACAACTTGATTGGAGTCCACCTGTGGTAAATTCAATTGATTGGATGTGATTTGGAAAGGCACACACCTGTCTATATAAGGTCCCACAGTTGACAGTGCATCTCAGAGCAAAAACCGAGCCATGAGGTCGAACAAATTGTCCGTAGAGCGCCGAGACACGATTGTGTCAAGGCACAGATCTGGGGAAGGGTACCAAAACATTTCTGCAGCATTGAAGGTCCCCAAGAACACAGTGGTCTCCATCATTCTTAAATGGAAGATGTTTGGAACCACCAAGACTCTTCCTAGAGCTGGCAGCTCGGCCAAACTGAGCAATCGGGGGAGAAGGGCCTTGGTCAGGGAGGTGACTAAGAACCCGATGGTCACTCTGACAGAGCTCTAGAGTTCCTCTGTGGAGATGGGAGAACCTTCCAGAAGGACAATCAGGCCTCCAATCAGGCCACTCCTCAGTAAAAGGCACATGACAGTCCGCTTGGAGTTTGCCAAAAGGCACCTAAAGACTCTCAGACCATGAGAAACAAGATTAAACCAAGATTTGTCTGATGAAACCAAGATTCAACTCTTTGGCCTGAATGCCAAGCTTGTTGTGGCAGCATCATGCTGTGGGGGTGTTTTTCCGCGGCAGGGACTGGGAGACTAGTCAGGATCGAGGCAAAGATGAACGGAGCAAAGTACAGAGAGATCCTTGATGAAAACATGATCCAGAGTGCTCAGGACCTCAGACTGGGGCAAAGGTTCACCTTCCAATAGGATAACGACCCTAAACACACAGCCAAGACAATGCAGGAGTGGCTTCGGGACAAGTCTCTGAATGTCATTGAGTGGCCCAGCCAGAGCCCGGACTTGAACCCGATTGAACATCTCTGTAGAGACCTGAAAATAGCTGTGCAGCAATGCTCACCATCCAACCTGACAGAGCTTGAGAGGATCTGCAGAGAAGAATGGAAGAAACTCCCTAAATACAGGTGTGCCAAGCTTGTAGCGTCATACCCAAGACTCGAGGCTGTCATTGCTGCCAAAGGTGCTTCAACAAAGTACTGTGTAAAGGGTCTGAATACTTATGTGAATGTGATCTGTGTTTTATTTTTAATACATTTGCAAAGATTTCTAAAACCCTGTTTTTGCTTTGTCATTATGGGGCATTGTGTGTAGATTGATGAGGGGGGAAAAAACAATTTAATCAATTTTAGAATAAGGCTGTAACGTAACAAAATGTGGAAAAAGTCAAGGGGTCTGAATACTTGTTGCAGTTGTGAAACACTGAGTTTCAGTAGATGCAAGGCCTGCTACATAGGACTGTCAGAGAAGTTGACTTACACTCCACCCTGGACATTGATGGACTGCGTCTTGGGGCTGCAGCCGGTGTCCTCCATGTTAGTGACAGGCCCCAGCAGGTCAATGTTGACCCCTCTCTCCCCAAAGTCCCTCTCACTGAACAGCTTCACGTGGGGAGACAGGAAGTCCTACAACACAGAGAATGTACACACAAACACCATTCAAATGGCCCCTCTGGATTAACAAGATCAAACTAGACCATCTTTTCAACTACCTCACCATTCATACTTTTAATCATCAAAACCAATCAAAGACGGCTCTGCAACAGATTAAACAGATTTAAACCATGGTCATATTGACATAGCTCTGAATGGATGTGAGTTGCAATACTTACAGTGCATACAGGGCGTAGTGACAGGAGCTGGTCTCCGTAGCCTCCCCACTCCCTCCAGTCAGGGTACTCCCCCTCCTCAAGGAGATACTGGTGACCCTCAAACTCTGGCTCATCATAGCCCACCCAGCTACAGGGACAATCAGGAGGGTGATGTTAGAGTACATACAACCCAATACAGTATAGAATTAATAGACCGTTTTCTGTGTTATGACAGGTTAATATGGGCAGAAGGGGGTCATTACATAGTTAGATAAGATACACAATTCTACAATACTATCCCTTACTGTACAGTATGTCAGCTGAGATCAACCACAAGTACTTACAGTCCTCTAAGGATCTTGATGGATCCCACAGAACACAATGTCTTCCTTTTGATTGGATTCCCTTCTTCCTCCTCCTCCTCATCTTCCTCATCTCCTCCCTCTCTGAAGTTGTAAACATCATCGTCAATCTCCACACACTTGCCCTCGAAGCACGGCCTCTCGTACACCAGAGCCTGAGGGGGTGAGAAGGGGTTAAAGTTGAGGCTGATGTGCTGAGGTGGGCAGTGTTCTCCATGCCCGTCCCCATCCCAGGGCTGCATGCTCCTCATACCACACATTCCAGCTCCCTAGGCCCTGTGCCATCTGGCCAAAACATACTGTATTTCACCACTGCCTGTATGTCAGTGTAATTTAAGCCCAGATGGCTACCTGGTACTTTTTCCTAACCTATAAATCAATCGTATGTCTGAATGGATAAACAAATGTTCAGCACATACTGGGCCAGACAACTACATTATCAGCCTCTTGAAATGTATAAACTGCGCTTGCATATTTCTACATTTTACATTGACTATTGAACTTGACCTAAACAAACATCTCTACTGGTAACCACAGGCCTGTCTTCTGGGTTAGACAGAGAGAGTGAGAGCATGCAGAGACAGCACTGTGGTGCCATGTGTCCATAGAGCTGCCAGTGCACACATCGTTCTCTCACTAGTCACTGGCCAATTCACCTGCAACAACAAGCCTGTCTGTCTGTTTCACAATGGACAGATTTGATACGGCAGAGGATTTAGGATGGCAGCTGTGCTATAATAATATGCCATGTCATCATATCACAGCTAGTCTTCAGCCATGTCACCAGAATAAAATTGAGTTGAGATATTATGAGTTTTGTGGTAAGAGGCTCTTGCAGTTGTTGAACCTTCCCACTGTCATTCACTGACTATGTTTATTTTTTTCATCTTTAAACATTGATGTAAATATGAATGGCCATGGGAATAGCTATAAAACAGAAGAATTCACAAAGGGTAAACATACCTTTACTTCATTAGGATGCTCCACCTTTATCCCACCCTGTAAGAGACACAAAACCACACATTAGGCTTTTAACATCATAAAGATAAAATAGTAGAAGCTATATGGGGAAAGTGTTTTTCAAAAGATAAGGATGCCATGACGATGCCAGTACCATTTTGAGGGGTTTCAGAGATCCGATGAAGGGCTGAGGGAATCCCCAGGCCTCTGGACAGGGGTACTCTCCTGCCTCCAACACCGCTAGCAGACCCCCAAACCCTGGGTCACCATACACCAGCCAGCTACAGGATGGAGAAAAGGGCCCCACACACACACACCGCATACAAAGATTAGACACTAAGTGACGTACATCGCACCTTTCTTTTTCAGCTGCCATGTAAATATTTATATTTAAAAAAAATCCCAATACAAGTTCAGGTGTTAGCCCCGTGATTGTCATTCACACCTGAGAAGACAGACATGAGCAGATCTACTAAACTATCTCTAAAATGACGATCGATATAAAATCACCAAGGTAACCTACTGTATATAGAAAACAACAGTATGAGTGACTGAGTGAAAACATCTAACTGCAGGTTTAAGTCACTCCAACAAACATAAACAGTCCAGCCTGCCTTCCACTGAGGAAAGAGAAGAAAGATGCCAGACAAATACACTCTCAGGTCTTATTGTGTATTTTATATAACACTGTATTTCTAAAGTGCCTTAAACTCTGTCCATGAGAAGAGTTGCCAACAATAACGCTTACACACAATATTGAGTGAACATGCAAAATGATAGTTTGCAAACTGAATCATCCATTTCAACACGCTTTTGAACAATAGCAAGCCTGATGTAGTACAGTATATTGGATTAAACTTAATATTAAAGCAATTTCTGGACTATGATTTGAACCTTCAACCTGGTTGGTAAGAGGGTAGAACTTACACTCCAGAGTGGACCTTGATGGAGCCGGTGTTCTGTATGTTCCCGTAGGAACAGACCTCGATGATGTCGTCGCAAAATGATGACATCCTCCCCAGACCATTCACCTCAGTGTACAGGTCAATCCGAGGTAAACTGTAGTCCCTCACTGCCAGGCGGATGGATCCAATGATCATGGGTGAGGTTGGCACAGGCTGACCCATCTGGTCCAGTGTCCCTGATGTCACCTCCTCTGCCCACACGTTGACCAGCTCCATGGGGCCCTCCTCCAGGGCGATGGTCCGCCCCTGGAACCCTGGCTTCTCATACAGCAGCCAGCTACACAGACAGGAAGTGATGACATACAGAGGCATGTTCATAACGGTGACAATATGTTTAGAGTTGCTGTCATGCTTTGTTAATATGAAACAATCAATTCATAAAGGATTGTGACAAGTTAATACGATTTTTATGTGTGTAAGATTTGTATTATTCTAAGCATTTATTGATGGAATAAAAAGTGAGGGAACGAGGGATGAATGTTGTCCCCCACAAACAGTCTTACCATCCCCTGACGACCCTGACTGAGATGACAGGAGACAGCTTCATCGTGGAGGCATCATCCACGTCACCAAACACCTCGTAAGCCTCTCCTTCAAATTGAGCCTGCTCATGGAGCACTATCTACAACAGGAAGTAGAGAATGACAGTAAGTATATCTCATGGTCATTACATGTGACACTTGGTGAGTGTATAATGGCCACTTGCAATTACTCATACACACTCAAGGGTTCTTTGGGAAGGGTGATGGTTCTATGTGGAACCATAATGACTCAAAGAACCCTTTGAGCCCTTCAATGGTTCTTTGCAGTTCAGAAAATGGTTATTTCCTCATTTAGTGATAATTAAAACTTAGGGGCGGTGGCTCATTAGAATATTCTGGGGTGTGGTTTGCGCCCAGATCTTTTTGTGCAACCGTGAGTGAGCTACCCTCTTGTAGATTTTTGCTCCAACCCTGATTCATTTTATTAACCTGCTAATTATTAGAATCAGCTGTGCTAGATTAGGGTTGGAGCAAAAACCTACAGGATGGTACTTCTCCAGGAACCGGGTTGGGCAGTCCTGATCTAATCTGTTGTGTTATGCGATTACATATTAAATATGACTATGGCCAGTGACTGTGTCTTGTGAAAAACTCACGTATGGCCTTGCGTCAATTGAGAACTGTTGTCTAAATCAGTGGTTCTGAATTCTCAGGGACACCCAGCTGTTCCATGACTAGCATACGCACACCTGGTTCAACTTGTCATTAACAAAATAATGACACCTATGGGGTTTTTACAATATAATATGGCTAACCAGTATAAAAAACACTGATGGTTCTTCAAAAGGTTTTGTAGATTAGTTTTATAAAGAAACTTTCTCATTCTCCATAATGGTTCTGTAAAGAACCATAAACAAAGGTTCTATATAGCACCAAAAAGGGTTGTAATGATAGCGGAACCCTTTTTGGTGCTATATACAACCTTTATTTAATGGTTCTTTATAGAACCTTAGGAAAGGGTTCTTTATATCACCATAAAAGTTCCATTTAGAACCTTATGAGCATGGTTCCTTGTAGAACCTTCAAAAAAGGGTTCTATATAGAACCAAAAAGGGACCCGCTATCGTTACGAGCCAAATAACCCTAATTTGGCACTATATAGAACCATTTGTTTTTAGTGTGTAAAATAGAATTGAATACTGCAGATGTTGTTTTATTAAATATCAGATTATCACAAAATATGAAAAAGTATATAAGAGTGAATCATTTAGAACTCTCCAAAACGCAACTAGTTGTATCCCTTACATCATATTCTAATATCAGTGTGTTACTGTAAAGGACTGGATATTGGATCGTTAGTTTAATGTAAAGTCAACCGTACCTTCCCAGGCCGTTTATGAAAACCTCTCGCTTCTGGAATCTGCAAAGAAAAAGAGAGCATGCTGTCTTTCATTTTCTTCTGAGGGACTGGGGAGTGGAAAAGCAGAAGTATCCTGTGTATTTCCTGTACTCCCGACAAAACTCTGGACCGCCTCCAGATAAAAATAACTCAACAAAAGACTAGCAGTAAAAAATGTGCCAGCTATAGAACATCAATAGTTAGTCGTCTACACAGTATGTGGTGTGTAAGAATATAAAGTATAAAGTAATCCTTCTACCCCACCCCCCCCCCCCCACCCCCCCATAAAAACAGTGGTTGTCCCGCTTGCTATCATAAGTTGAATGCACCAATTTGTAAGTCGCTCTGGATAAGAGCGTCTGCTAAATGATGTAAATGTAAATGTAAATGTAAGAACAAACCATCGTTGGTCTACACCCACTGCTTGCTGAGCAGGAAGTAAGATGGCAATCATGGCATCTTGCTCATGTAAACAAAACAACATGAGAGAAGTAGGGCTATTTGCATGTTGATCCCTCTGGTCTGAGAATAAATCACTGATGCACAAAATGAGGTCGTTCTGGCAAAGACGTATATGAAACATTTATTGTGAAGAATGCCTTTTCTTCTTGTCTTTACTTGCAAACAATGTATGGCTTGTTTCTAAGAGCCATACCTTGTAAAGATCTAAAACTTGTGAATGGATTTCAACATTCCAAAAGAAAAAGCTGGACTTGAGGTGATTTAGTGATGTGTTGCCTTGGGGATAGATAATACTGTAGCTGTCAGGACTTTGTACAAAGTGAACAGTTTCTGAAGGACCTGCCCAGCCCATAAAACAATGCCTTGCAGGTCAAAACTCATTCAGTTGTTAAAGTTAATTATCGGTTTGCAGCATTAAAGCAGTGACTGTACTGAGCGAATATAATAGAAGCAGGTAGAGACAACCATAGCTATGTCTTAATCATACACTTCTATATTGTCTCCATGTAAAATAACTTCTAAATCTAGTCGAAGTAGGGTAGACCGGGGTTGGTTGTCATTTCTCAGCACCAGTATATCTTACAACACTATTTTCAATATTAGGAGCAAGACCAAGGTCTTGGGTTAAAATGGGGTCCCTTTTTATCCTCATATATTATTCCAACATAAGCCATCATACTCTGTCTACTTGTGACAACCAGACACATCTCGGGGTTGGAAGTCACACAGTATGTTGGTTGTTGTCACAATGTTTGCTAGTACCTTATTCCTTTTGTAACAGGAAATGAAGCCATATAACATAAAGAGTCTTAGAAATAGCCAAGCCTTTCTTTGATCAAACGATATTCCTAACAAAATTCGCAATTTTAGGCCATGAGAATAACGTTTGACATTTTGAGTATATTTGTGTGTGTATGTGTGTGTTTGCACACACGTGTGTGTGTGTGGGTGTGTGACAGAAAAAATATGTATGGGAGAGAGGCAACAAAGGGAACTCTTTATAGCACATGCACGAAAGAGCTTGGGATTTATTATAATGGAGTTGATAGTGACAACCAACCCCACATTCCATGTGACAACCATCCCCAACCACCCCCTAATTAAGATGCTGGTTACCACATGGCTTGACCTAGGAACTCCAAAATAGGTTTGAAATATAGCTCTCCCTTTCCTCTTTTCAACAAACATAACTGTTGGATACAGAATACATGGATACTCCCATAATTTAAACAATTACAAAGAAAATACTCTTTTTGATGTTGTTTAATTTCACCTATGAAGAAGAACACAAATTCCCCTCACCTCAATGTTTTGTCTTGCTGACAAAAATTCCCCTATCTGGCTAAAGAGTATAATAAGGTAGACATAACATCAATGTGAAACCCCAAACTGTCAGTTGGTTTCATGCAGTCGTCTGAGACTCTTACCTTTGTGTTGGCTGTAAGAAGACCATTCAGAGGGGCCTGTGGGATGTGGTTATCAGCGGAAGGATGTCCTAATGTAAGTCCCTTTAGGCCCATATTTAGAGGAGGAAGTCCAGCACCCTGACCTAGGTCCATTACAGGATTAACCATAGCACTCTGTGTAACATTACTCTGTGAAGCTCCTTTGTCTTTCCTGAGATATTTCTCCAGGTGATCTGGCAGCTTTAGCTCAGTGAATGAGGGAAAAGGAGGAGGTGAGGAGGGACTGATTATTGACTCACAAGCTGCACCCACACCCACAAGCAGGCCTGGATCCATACTGCTCCCACCCGCCCTTCCTGGAACTGTGCCCTGGGTTGTAATAGAAGGAGGAGCACCATTAGAGAATGAGGAGGAAGGATCCCCGTTGCCCTTTCTGCAAGTCTTGGGGGAACTCAACAGTTTGGATAGTATGGACATCCTTCCTAGCCGCGACGAGAGCTGCCCGGTTTCTTCTACTTTCCCTGGCTCCTCTTCCTTCTCTACCTCCCTCTTCACCTCTACCTCTACCTTCACTTCCACCTCTCCCTTCACTTCCACCTCTCCATCTTTCCTGTCTGTTTGATACCCTGGTTTTCTCAGGGCTCTAGATGGAGACTGGAGGGCTTTGTAGAGAAGGCTGCCCTCTACTCTAGCCTGTCTTTTCTGTGTATTCTCCTCTTGGTGAGGCTGTTTCTTTATCAACATGGCCGGGGTTACTTTATCCTTCGTCCTCTTTTTCAGGCCAAACTGGAAGCCCTCAGCGTCAAAGGGGTTCTCGAAGCGGTCCTCCTTGATGGCGGGCATAGCAAAGGGGGGCGAGGGGGTCTTGGGATGACTGTGGTGCCTCTTGGGGGGCAGGGAAAAGGGGGTGCCCAGTTCCTTTATGCTCCTGATGAAGTCCTCCACATCGTCAGACTCAGCCAGACTCTCATCCTCGCTGGCTGAACAGTTCAGCCTCCTCTTGGTTTCCTTCTTCTGCTCCCGCTTGGAGCCATACTCCACATCTAACCAGCTGGAGGGAGAGTCCTGTTTCAAAGGGAGAGGTTTAGGGGGAGAGGGGAGCTTCAGAGAAGTTGGCAGCTGAAAAGGCAGTTCAGCCTTGGGGGTTGCTTTTTTAGTTTTAGGGGGTTCTTTGAGGACCAATATCTTCTCCTCCTGAGATTTTGTGCTTATGGTTTTTGATTCCTGTTTTGTGTCTAATATCTTAGAGACAGTGTTTTTAGTCACTCCTTCACTCGGTCTGTCTTCTTGTTTTGTCACCTTCTCCTTCTTCTTCATAGCCTTTGTGGTTATGGTCTTTGATTCCTGTTTTGCATCCATCTTAGTTACGGTACTCTTAGTGGCTGCCTCAGTTGGTTTGTCCTCTTGTTTATTTCCTTTGTGTGGCTGCCCATGTGCATCTGCCAAATTCTGTGTCAGTGAAGGAAGCTCTTTGTTCAGTTGGACTTCACCATTTTCAACTGGTTTCTGAACAATCCCACCCTTTGTTAGAATGTCTGAGACCTTCACTGGCTCTCCCTCCTGTACTTCACTCTCTTTCCTAGAAACTATGGATATATCAGAAACTATGGCATTACCAATAGGTACTATATCTGGGGTTTGAACATTAGCTAGTGCCTGTGATTTTTCCTCCAAGCCAATCAGATTTGGCTGTGTTGCCATATCGTGACTATCTCCACTTTTAACCACAGTGGAGGCGTTTTTGGGTGAGCTTTCCTTAGCTTCATCCAGGCCATTTTCCGCAGGCTGATTCTTACTACCTATTTCCTCTCCAGCACCGGATATGAGCTTCTCTGATGCTGTAGAGATATTGTCATTGCTCTCATCACTCTTCTGATTGGTTCGGGTGTCAGTGTCAGTATGAATGAGGTCAGTCAATGCAGGCTTGGTGGATGTATCTATTACTTCCTCATGGGTAGGTGTGCCTGAGGCAGACACAATGGGGCTTGGTTCAGATGGGCGTTTCTCCACGACGACACCTGGCTCTACATTACCTGTCTGCAGCTGTGGTGTATCTGTTAAGGCTTCCACATAGTCACTGTTACTCTCTGATGAGAGATCTGGGGGTGGTTTGGTTTGTTGTTTCTGTGTAATAGAGGTAGTTTTGACCGATAGGGATTTTTCTTGTGCAATTTCCGATTTTGCATCCAGTTTTGTTTCAGGTGTGCTACTACAGCTGTCCTTCAGTGATTCCTTCGTGCCAGTGATTGCTGGTTTATCTGTTTGATATTTTACAAGCTCAGTGCTACAGTCTGCTACTAGTGAGGAGTCTGTTGCTGGTTTGATTTGTTGATCTTCTATCTGAGAGTTATCTGTGACCAGCAACACATGATCTTGTACAAATGTAGATTGTGTTTCAGATAGTGTTTCAGAGTTCACAGTTTGCTCAAATTTCTTAAGGGGTTTGCTGGGTTTTCCTTTAGTTTTTTTTTTCTGACGCAACATTGGAAGCTTGCTAGCCACAGTCACAGAATCACTTGGATCCTTCACTGGACTTTTCAAACTCCCAGCATCAGCAGTCTTGTTCATAGTGGGAGATGTGATGTTACTCTGCTTCTTCAGTCTAAGGAAGGCAGGTTTATCTGACTTGGTTGGCACCAGTGAGGGAGAGGTGGGTGTGTCACTATCGTCACGGGGAGTGCTCTTATTGGAGGGCTGTTGAGGCAAGTTTGTTGGCAATGGGCAGGGCAGCTTGCTTCCTGTTGGTGATAAATTAGTTAGTCAGACAGTATAGCGGTTTGTTGGTTCGTTTTCATCATACAATGCAAAATGAGAGCTATACCTCTCTCTAAAATATGTGACATGTACAGTACCTCGAGTCCATCAAAGCAATTAAACCATTGGATAATTCTGAAACATTACCACTACTAACCACACAACTAAAATGTGTTAGCTAGACAGATGCCATAAATAAGCAGAGAGAATCTTATCTTAACATATCGCATGTTTAAAATGCATGACACGTTTGTCTTACCCTTCTCAGGTTCAGGGATCAGGGTCTCATCTGTGGGCCTTTCCTCTGGGCTGGGAAGCTCCTGCTGCTTTGGACTGGTTGGTGTGGAAGGCCTACTATTGACACCTGATGCTCTCTCAGGGGTTTTGGTATTTTTACTGCCTGTGTCGATGGTTTGGGGTTTGCCATTTTTCGCCTTTCTGACCGAAGACGAAGAGTTGTCAGGGGCTTTGGGTAACCGACTCTTTGGTATAATGCTGCTGTTGTTGCTGTCTGGGCATGTGGGAGCCTGTTTTCTAACATCTTTGGGTTCACTTGTTTTGGGTGTGGTAGTGTTGTTGTCCTCTGGGTCTTTCTCCAGGCCATTGGCCAGGTTAACCTTATCTGAACTCTCTTTGCTCTTCTCTTTGCTGGACTTCACAGGTGACATGAGTGGTACTTTAGTAGGTGAGACCTCTTCTGACTTAACAGGCCCAAACGTTTGTTTTCCTCCTGAACCCACTCCCTTCACCTCCTCAATGATAGGCTTTGTGTCTGTTTTCATCATTAAATGTTTAGGTTTAGGGTTTTTCTGTTGTTTGTAACCAGCCACAGGCACAACCACTGAAACATCAACCACTGAGGTTGTGTCTGGTGATAGTGGGGGTTTCGATGTAGCTTCTGACAATGACTTTTTGGGGATTCTCGACTTGGGGCTGTCGGTGACCTCTGTTTTTCCTGCAGTGAGTTGATCCTTTAATGTAGATGGCATAACCTCTGTTTTCTCACCGCCATCTTTAGTTGTCATTTGCGATGTAGCCCCACTAGAAACCCCCGCCTTGCCACCATCTGTGAGACCCTTTCCCTTAGCCATGCCCAGGCCAACTTTGGACTTTTGTCCAACCAAAGGAGATGGGCTCTTTAACCGACTGGCAACATGTTCTACTTTATCCTCTGGTTTAGACGGGGTGACCTGTGGTGTCCCCTGACCTCTAACCCCTGAACTCCCAGTGTTGGGCTGTGTTTTGCGTCCTGGCATGGTTGTGGTTGGAGAGGCCTCATCCAGCTCTGGGGTTGGGGTTGTTGTGGAACTGTCTACAGCTTTGGGCTCATGGTGGCTTAGGTAAAAGTCTGTACCCTCAGTTATCTCTCCTGCAGTGATGATACAGTCATTGTTTGGTTCCTTGAGATCTACATTCACCTTTTTGAGGCTTGGCAGCCTGGAGAGAGAACATAGAAAAACAGTGAGTAGACCTTTCGTGCAGTCAATGACCAAAAGCTCCCTCTTTGGCCTCATGGGTGGAATGTTATTAATCCGTTTTTTCTATGTCAAACAGTTTGGTTATATTTCAATCTTCTGTGATGTATATAAAGTGTAATATTGGGGTGAAAACTCAAAATTGAATACATTTCTACTCTATATCTGGCATGGTACAGGTGTCTTCTTTTTTTTAAGCCCATAACCATGTGTGTGAGGTGTATACTTTTGTTTCAAAGTAGATTTGTTTAAGACTACCAAGAATCACTCTGTGTGACCCTGATTTAGCCCACTGCAGTAAAATATTAACTTTGAGGGGAGGAGGGGAAAACAATTTAGTGTGCAGAACAAACTTCTCACCACAATGATGCTACCTGATTTATACATTCAACTTTAAAATACATAAACACATTCTTCAGATAAGGAAAAACAGCCTTTAGCAATACCGGTAAGTGCAAAGTGAAACTGAAATATTTCTGCTCTGTGTAACTTCACAAAACAGATTCTTCTAAACTGCTCTTCCTTAAAACTTCCAGCAATGCAGAACATCCCTTCAGGTATCAGTAGAACAATAAATCCAAGCATTTTGTAATTCGATACCATTGAGGTATAACAATAGTTTTAATCTAAACACAGGCTATTCCACCTGAATATGACACAACTAAATACATATTCCTTGTGGCAAAACTACATCTGAAAGATGGATATCAGAATGGCATGCCTTACTTTTATCAGCATTGTACTGATTCTATTCAGTAAACCTTTTAGTCAAACAAAGTGAGTGACTTGTGATCACCTTTAGAGTAACTTCCATCATGAGTCATCATTCAGGATGGAAATAACGCCTGAAGTAAACACAGCCCAATGGGCACAGATGTCAATTCAACGTCTATTCCACGTTGGTTCAAAGTAATTTCATTGAAATGACGTGGAAACAATGTTGATTCAACCAGTGAGGGCCCAGTGGGAGATGCCCTCCATTTTGATTGAAATATAACAGTTCATATGAACAAACGTTACTTTTTCTTTCAGTGATTTTAATTAGCAGGTTACATCTCATGCAATATACACTACCGGTCAAAAGTTTTAGAACACCTACTCATTCACAGGTTTTTCTTTATTTTTACTCTTTTCTACATTGTAGAATAATAGTGAAGACATCAAAACTATGAAATAACACATATGGAATCATGTAGTAACCAAAAAGGTGTTAACCAAATCAAAATATATTTTATATTTGAGATTCTTCAAATAGCCACCCTTTGCCTTGATGACAGCTTGAGCATTCTCTCAACCAGCTTCATGAGGTAGTCACCTGGAATGCATTTCAATTAACAGGTGTGCCTTCTTAAAAGTTAATTTGTGGAATTTCTTAATGCATTTGAGCCAATCAGTTGTGTTGTGACAAGGTAGGGGGGGGGGGGGGGGGGTATACAGAAGATAGCCCAGTTGGTAAAAGACCAAGTCCATATTATGGCAAGAACAGCTCAAATAAGCAAAGAAGTCGCAAAAACCATCAAGCGCTATGATGAAACTGGCTCTCATGAGGACCGCCACAGGAATGGAAGACCCAGAGTTACCTCTGGTGCAGAGGATAAGTTCATTAGAGTTACCAGCCTCAGAAATTGCAGCACAAATAAATGCTTCACAGAGTTCAAGTAACAGACACATCACAACATCAACTGTTCAGAGGAGACTGTGTGAATCAGGCCTTCATGGTTGAATTGCTGCAAAGAAACCACTACTAAAGGACACCAATAATAATAAGAGACTTGCTTGGGCCAAAAAACACAAGCAATGGACATTAGACCAAATTTGAGATTTTTGGTTCCAACCGCTGTGTCTTTGTGAGACGCAAAGTAGATGAACGGATGATCTCTGCATGTGTATTTCCCACCATAAAGCATGGAGGAGGAGGTGTGGGGGTGCTTTGCTGGTGACACTGTCAGTGATTTCTTTAGAATTCATGGCACACTTAACCAGCATGGCTACCACAGCATTCTGCAGCGATATGCCATCCCATCTGGTTTGGGCTTAGTGGGACTATCATCTGTTTTCCAACAGGACAATGACCCAACACACCTCACCTCCAGGCTGTGTAAGGGCTATTTGACCAAGAAGGAGAGTGATGGAGTGCTGCATCAGATGACCTGGCCTCCATAATCACCCGACCTCAACCCAATTGAGATGCTTTGGGATGAGTCGGACGGCAGAGTGAAGGAAAAGCAGCCAACAAGTGCTCAGCATATGTGGGAACTCCTTCAAGACTGTTGGAAAAGCATTCCAGGTGAAGCTGGTTGAGAGAATGCCAAGAGTGTGCAAAGCTGTCATCAAGGCAAAGGGTGGCTATTTGAAGAATCTCAAATATAACATCTATTTTGATTTGTTTAACACTTTTTTGGTTACTACATGATTCCATATGTGTTGTTTCATAGCTTTGATGTCTTCACTATTATTCTACAATGTAGAAAATAGTAAAAATAAAGAAAAACCCTTCAATGAGTAGGTGTTCTAAAACTTTTGACCGGTAGTGTATATTATATTTTACACATCATACCTTTATCTACTCTGAATGTTTTGTTTACCAACTTCTGCTTACTCCAGTAAAGTGGCCTCCAAAATAACTAGTGTGAAATGTTACAGTTGACAGAATTCGAAAATTAGTTGTTTTAAGACAACAACAAAAAACTGTTGTTTTAAGACAATCTTGGTTGGGCTGAACATTTATCTCTTCAGAATCCCCTGTGCCAGAGGACACAGTTAACAGTCTTAAGCATATTGTGAAGATAATAGGCTTTGCAGCAGTGGTACAGATGTAGGATCTTAATTTGATCACTCTTTTGTTGCTGAGAATTTTCCTGCACAGCAGGAAATGCAAACCTGTAGTGTATTCGAGGTATAAAAAGGCTTCTAAAGTTTGGAATTTCCACTTGAAAATGTCAGACTTGATTTGCCCTAAGAAAAATGTGTCAACCCCTACAAAAAATGTAAATTCATTTTAATCCACATAATAATTCAGATTTCCTGTTGCTGCAGGATTATTTTCCTGCTGTAGCAAATTGGCTCAAATTAAGATCCTACATCTGAAGCTGTCATGGTCGTTGCTAGCATAATTTAACAAAATTCTTATTAGCTTGGTAAAAGGAAAAGTTGCTCATGATATTATTCAAATAACTGCTACATCATTATTTATTTACCACTGCATTACAGTATACTACAATATTGAAATGGTTCCCCTGTATTTTTTTTCTTGCTCAACAGCAGACTCTTAACAATGTAGGGTAGCCTACTGACTCGGTTGTAAAGACTGACTGACTGTGCACACAGTATTTTGTGACGATTACATAAGAAGATATTGCTGTATAGTCGATGGCCTACCGTACATACAGTAGTCTTGTCAGTATCATGCAGTCCAAGTAAAGTATTAGTACTGTAGGTGAACATTTGAATGACGCAGGAGTTTTTCAGCTGTGTAAAGAACTGTTCTTATTGTTCTCCTCTGGTACAAAGAGGCATGGGAACACACAGCTCAGGTTGCACACCTCTCTCTCTCTCTGTCTCTCTCTCACTCTCTCCCTGTTAAGGATCAAAGCACTCCTTAAAAAGACCAAAGAAAATGTGAAATAAAGACACTTACAGTTTCACCTCCAACTTCTGAGGAATCTTTGAAGCCAAGTCTACGATGTCATTCTTTTCCAGCTCTCTCTCTACCTGCTCATCCCAATCAAAACTGGGCTCAGGGCTCACATACACCTTCTTAGTAAAAAGCTTCTCACTGTGGGAGAGTTTCACACTTCTGCGCTTTTCCTCTTTGCTCAGGGCCGTCTGATCCTCTAGAGGGGGGCTGCTCTCTGAGTCTGTGCCTGGACTGGTCGCCTCTGGCCGGGCTGTGTTTGTTTCTGAGTCCTTGGAGACTGGTGCTGTGGATACAGCCAGCTCTGGCTCTCTGCCACCGGATACCGCTGAAAGGGTTATAGTGGCCAGGACACCAGCAGTATCAGTGTACTCCACAGAGGCCACAGTCACAGGTATGGCCTCTTCTCCCAGGTGTGTTTCCACCCACACAGGTTTGTGTAGCTTCACAGGTGAGTCCTGCCTCGTCCCCTCTCCCCCAGGTAACGTGGTCTGGCTGGAGGGAGCTGTTTCAGCCAAGCTGCTGCTGGTGGATCTCCTGTTCTTCTTCCCCATGGCTGGGCTGTTCTCTCCCTCCTCTCCCTCTGGCTGTAGGTCTGAGGAGGACGGGGTGTGAGACTGAGAGCCTAGAGTCACTCCCACCAGGTAACTCTCCTTCCCTCCAACAGATGTTTTCAGAGAGGACTTTTTAGACTCTATGCCGAGAGAGGTGACGTCAGTCTTAAGGTGAGATTGAGAGAGCTCAAACGACCTGAGGATGGTTTGGACCACTGGGCTGCCCCTCTCCGACCCCTCTCCGTCTTGCACAGTGGTTTGTTTCTGCAGATATACCTGCAGCCTCCTGCTCACCTCCTTAGTGAGGCTGAGCTCTGGGGTTTGCTCTGCTCCGGAGGGGGACGAGTTAGTGGGAGTCAGATTCCCGGAATTCCTGTCTGCCTCTCCGTCTGGCTCTGCTTCCGCCTGGCTGACCCTGCACACATGCACCTCCCTCACGCTGCCCCGGCCGCTGCTGTCACTGTCTGCAAACGGCATGTCCCCTCTGTCTGCCGCCACCAGAGAAGCTAGGCTGGATGTACTAGGGCTGAAGCTGCTACTGAACACCGACCCCTTCGCCTGGAGCTCCGACAGACTCCCCAGCACTGGCCCAGCTCCCGCTTCCACTACCTCCCCCTCTTTCTGGGTAGTGGTGGTCCTCAGCCCGTCCTCCTGGTGGGGGGAGAGAGGAGAACCAGGGGCCCGGGGTGAGATGGGAGTGCCAGGACCCAGCCAGGATCCATCCTCTGAGCCTACTGAGAGTGAACCACTCCGGCTCTTCTTCTTTTTGTTGGAAAAGAAACTTCCGATGCGGTTAAACACTCCATCTGAGCTCTGGGAGGAGACAGAGAGACAAAAAAACTGAAAGATAAATACCCAGATGGAGAACAGACACACCTGTTGTTTTTGACACAGCTATACAAATAACCACAGAGGTTGGGTCTCATCTCACTTTTTTCAGTCCTTGATATATAAAGTGTTCAATAATTTAGTACATTTACCTTAATATCCTTAACTATTACCGCAAAGATTAGGTAAAGATTATTGTCAAAATCAAACACAAGCCATGCTGAATGGTGAAGATGTCTTTCTACTAACAGCCAGGTTGAACATGATCAGGCTGCTACAGCACCTGGGTAATAACAACATTGGACAGATATAACATTACAGGAACATTTCTGTGATCCCCACAAGTCAGTAACCACAGGTATTAAAACCCACTGCGGGATAGGTGGAATGAGAACCAGCGAGGCAAACAAGGAATGGGAGGGTCATCAAATAATACTAGTTCGTAATAAGATCTATACAGTATCATTGGATTAAATATCATACCTAAAAGCAAGTACAATATATTGCCATGTCTTATTCAACCTATATTTAGCCAGGCAAGTCAATAACGACGTGGTCTGTTTGTTTCGTCACATACTGTATTTTAATTTATTTTCATCTATTTATTTAGCCAGGATAGTCCATTCAGGAACACTTGCCACTGCTTTCCAGGGAGTCCTGGGTTCCATCGAATCAATAAAACATACACATCACATAAAAGTTGACCAGATAAAAACACAGTGGCATACATCCAAAAGCACAGCACACTCTGTCTGTTTCCTAGTACAGGCTGGAACAGGATACAGAACATCATAACAAAAGATAATACGCACTAACACTAAAAATTAGACCGCTACATACCATTTTAGTGACACTTGCTGGAATTTAACCCGTAGATTTCTTTTCTTTAGAATCCCAACATACTGACCATATACTGCACCACTCCACCCCAGTTGACCACTCGCATATCAGGTGCAAAAAGTTAATGTGTATCAGCTTTTTACTTCCTGCTTAGCTGGGATAAGAGTCATAATGCCGCCAAATCCAACAATGTGAAAAATGACCTTCACAGAGAGACAGACAGTCTGTGTGTGATGTCTGTGTGTATCTGTATATGTCTAGCCTTGAGTAGACTATCAAACAAACTACAGTACACCGCTTCAGGGCATAATTCCATTTGTACCGCCAAGTACAGTGCAGCATAAAGGCTATTGTGAACGAGCTTTCACATAGCAAACATTCACAGGAATAAATGATCTAATGAGAATGTATAGACACGGATGTCTGCCTAACAACCCCACCCTTCCTTCCTCAATCAAACTGGAGCAAGTCAGTAGCCCGGGAACCTCTTTATCAATATAATAATACCATGGACAGGAGAGCTACTTTCAGTTGGACTGAAACAAGGAAATAATACATCTATTGTGGATGTACGTGTAACACAGTATGTTTCAGTTGTGTACAGTATGAATGTTTTGACCAACTCTGACACATGCAAGGACACACATTTTGACCCTTTCCCTCTAAATTGACACAAGTTGAATGATTTGCTGATATTGTTTCGTATGGACCTGTGCACATCCTTCATTCAGTAGTAGAAATGGTTTAACAGAGAACAACAGGACTTTTACCTATTAAAAATCCTGTTGAAACAGAGTTCATTGTTCCTTTGTTTCCAAATGGTCTCAAACAGTTCAGGAAACACATGGAAGGTAAAAGCACAGACTTTGTGGTTACAGTACTGTATTCCAGTTCATGTTCCAAATTGTATGCTTAGCATAGAAATACCTCTAAACAAAATAAAAGTCTACCCTAGTAACCAGGTTTCCAGGAAAAACATAATTCTTCTTGAACAGATTAATGTGCTCAATTATGTACTTGTAAAAGTTATATTAATAGAACACAGAGAGTGAATCCTACCCCATTAATAACTATAATATCCAGGTTGGAGAACAGGTTGGACAAGTCTGTGTTAATGGTGAATAACCTATGATATCTTATAATTTTACCCTTCAACCCTAATGATTTGTATACCATTTTGAAGGGGCTGCTGATAAAGAATGTCAGTCTTACGTTCATCTTAATGCCTCCAGGCATTGAAGAAATTCTCATATAAATTGTTATTCTAAACTCAAATATTGTGTAATGCAAAGCTACATTATAAACTGAGTCATAAACTTATATTGAGGGGTCTGTCTGAAGAATTTCAGTTGCTGCATAAATGCTTATGGCCAGTTAAAATCAATAACACTACAGGTGTGTTCCAGATACACAATTTCTGCACAGGCCTGTGCAAATGACACAGTCAATATGTAAAAATATTCTGAGGAGGATTTGTGTATCTGGAATGCGTCCTTTAACCACACTACCTCTCTTGCAGCCGATGCCCTGCAAAGTGAGTCAATACTGCCCTCCTCTGCACCCTTTTTATATGACTTCCCTGCCAGGCTCAGTGCAAGCATTAGCAGCCAGTAGTATGGGGTAAATGTCTGTAAGCTAAGTGACAGATTCTGTCACTCTCAAATGATTTGAAAAAAGTTTCAATTTGTTTAAATCAAGTGTTATCAAGTGGGTTGGATATCAATCTAACCACTCTGAAAGTACTCTATGGTTGACACATACTTTTGACAATTGTTGAACAGTAGAACTATGGTAAACATGTATGGTACAGTATGATTAGCTACTATGTAAACTATAGTCACATTTCATCATTAATTTCAACATCACTCTTAGATGAGTCTGTCCTAAGACTAGCTGTTGCCATTGATGTCGGCTAATGGGGATCCTAATAAATCAAATCAAAAATCCTAAAGGAGTCCAGATTGGCCTCACGGAAGTAAAGTAAAGAGGGTGTGGTTTAAAAGTACAGTAATTCAGATACAGTATATCATGGATATTTCCAGATGAGTTCTCCACAACACAAAAGAGGACTCCTGTTGTAGTCTACTATATTGTGATGTACCTTATTTCTGGACTGGGTGGGGCTGAGGCTGAGGCTGTTCAAGGCTGACATGTCAAAGCTGAACATGGAGGTAGCGTCCCTGTCTCTCTCCTTCCTGGTGCTGTTGACGCTGTACTCCGTCGACACGCTCAGCTGATCAAAACTCCTGTCACACAGAGAGAGAGAGAGGGAGAGAGAGGGAGAGAGAGGGAGAGAGAGAGAGAGAGAGAGAGAGAGAGAGAGAGAGAGAGAGAGAGAGAGAGAGAGAGAGAGAGATACTGTTAGGCTTAGAGCAGGCAGATCATCTCACCCATTACCACAGATAACATGTTGTAACTTTGTTTCTATCCTGTGTCTACTCACTCAGCCTCTATTTCTTTTCTATCATATTCTTTATCCTTATCCTCTGACCCACATTCTGTCACACACACTCACAGACCCATGGCATGGCTGATTGTCCTACCCACCCATATGTTGTTGTTATCACATGAATGTTATATGACCTTGTCAAAATGAAAGGTACAAAGGTCCAGTCACCTCCCATGACTGCTTGACCCTCTGAAAATAACATCACCTGTAAAACAGAAGAGTATGGTTTTCTTAAACATCAACTTATCCAAGAACAAAACGACAAAACAAGTCACACCAGTGTGTGTACAGCAGTTAGAATACACAGCGTGGATTCTGGTACATGTGTGTGAAGAGGCACTGGTCTGTTTTCAGGAGGTGTTGGCTGTCATCACTATACCCAAAGGCTTTTAAGTAGACTCTGTGTTGTCAATGGAAGCAGTTAGGCTAGCTCACCCACTGTGGCATCCCATAATAGTGAGCTATGGTAATCACTCCCGGAATGCAGAATGGTAAACAGCATTCCACTGATAGTGTAGATATGTGTGCAACACCAGGGGTGTTTTAAGAGGGGTGAAATGTTAATAAATATTTCAGCAATGTTGAAGATAAATCCAGTACATAGGGAAACACTTTTCACATCAATCAATAAGATAATCTTCTACACTATTCACTTAAATTTTTATCTTCTACTTTCGGGAACTTTCAACCACCTAAACCCCTGCCAAGTGAAAATGGCTGGTCATGTGAATTTCTCACCACAAAAGGACGCTATGTTTGTTCAAGATAGCTGGTAACACTGACCAGCATCTTCTGGCTTTGTTATACCATCTTTGCCCACAAGGGGGTGTATCAGATTACATTTTCCTCACTTCAAAATTGACTGATGAATCATACAGAACAATAGAAAGTCATCATACTGCCATTCTACAGAATCTATTGTTTCCCCTTGGCATTTGTTTAGTTACCCTGGTCATGCCAACTTTGCCAACACTTTGAAGCCAGTCTCTTTTGTTAATGATTCACTGGTACAGTGACGTTGGGTAAACTGTGAAGAAAGGTGTGCTACAGTGGGGGAAAAAAGTATTTAGTCAGCCACCAATTGTGCAAGTTCTCCCACTTAAAAAGATGAGAGAGGCCTGTAATTTTCATCACAGGTACACGTCAACTATGACAGACAAATTGAGAATTATTTTCTCCAGAAAATCACATTGTAGGATTTTTTATGAATTTATTTGCAAATTATGGTGGAAAATAAGTACTTGGTCACCTACAAACAAGCAAGATTTCTGGCTCTCACAGACCTGTAACTTCTTCTTTAGGAGGCTCCTCTGTCCTCCACTCGTTACCTGTATTAATGGCACCTGTTTGAACTTGTTATCAGTATAAAAGACACCTGTCCACAACCTCAAACAGTCACACTCCAAACTCCACTATGGCCAAGACCAAAGAGCTTTCAAAGGACACCAGAAACAAAATTGTAGACCTGCACCAGGCTGGGAAGACTGAATCTGCAATAGGTAAGCAGCTTGGTTTGAAGAAATCAACTGTGGGAGCAATTATTAGGAAATGGAAGACATACAAGACTACTGATAATCTCCCTCGATCTGGGGCTCCACGCAAGATCTCACCCCGTGGGGTCAAAATGATCACAAGAACGGTGAGCAAAAATCCCAGAACCACACGGGGGGACCTAGTGAATGACCTGCAGAGAGCTGGGACCAAAGTAACAAAGCCTACCATCAGTAACACACTACGCCGCCAGGGACTCAAATCCTGCAGTGCCAGACGTGTCCCCCTGCTTAAGCCAGTACATGTCCAGGCCCGTCTGAAGTTTGCTAGAGTGCATTTGGATGATCCAGAAGAAGATTGGGAGAATGTCATATGGTCAGATGAAACCAAAATATAACTTTTTGGTAAAAACTCAACTCGTCGTGTTTGAAGGACAAAGAATGCTGAGTTGCATCCAAAGAACACCATACCTACTGTGAAGCATGGGGGTGGAAACATCATGCTTTGGGGCTGTTTTTCTGCAAAGGGACCAGGACGACTGATCCGTGTAAAGGAAAGAATGAATGAGATTTTGAGTGAAAACCTCCTTCCATCAGCAAGGGCATTGAAGATGAAACATGGCTGGGTCTTTCAGCATGACAATGATCCCAAACACACCGCCCGGGCAACAAAGGAGTGGCTTCGTAAGAAGCATTTCAAGGTCCTGGAGTGGCCTAGCCAGTCATCTTTTTAAGTGGGATAACTTTTTTTTCCGCACTGTACAACATTCCTTTCTATGAGCCATGAATTGGGAATGAACCAGGGATGTTGCATGAATGGTGTTGATTATGAATTATGCTGAGTTTGCAAGACTTCCACAGAGGAAGCATCCAGAGCAGTTGCATTCTCTTACTGTCTACGTGAAGACAGAGGTATCTGTTCAAACTTCAAGCCCAAGGAGGAAACACGTCTGTCAGAACACGATTACGATATCTCAAATACATGGCTTGATATGAAAAGATCTGAAAGGATGACAATACGTAATTGCTTTCATATGTTTCATAATGGATATTCACTATTACATAGGCCTATCCAATGCAACAACTATGCACTATAAGTTAATTTAAAGACCACAGAAACCATTAACAATTTTGCAGTTTGCAGCGTCTTGACACAAAGCCAAGGCCCAAACAACCAGCTCCAACCTGCCTGGTTTTTCATTGTTACATTTACATTTGACATTTTAGTCATTTAGCAGACGCTCTTATCCAGAGCGACTTAGTTAGTGCATTCATCTTAAGATAGCTAGGTGGGACAACCACATATCATATACATATTTAAGATGCTGTTTGAGGACGTAGGGTTTCAGATTTTTTTGGAAGATGGGAAGGGACTATGCCGTCCAAGCTTCAGGGGGAAGCTGGTTCCACCATTGGGGTGCCAGATACAGAGAAGAGCTTCGACTGGGCTGAGCGGAAGCTGCCCTTCTGTAGGGGTGGGAGTGCCAAGAGACCTGAGGTGGCAGAACGGAGTGCTCGGGTTGGAGTGTAGGGTTTGAGCATAGCCTTATGCCATGCCAACTGATGTCACCCACACAGTACAGAGCTCTGGAGATAGCACGTATTCAGATCGGGCACAATTTTGCATAACAAGAAGAACCGGGTAGATTCTTAGAAAAAAAGGTGCTATCTAAAACCGGCTATCCCATAGGAGAACCCTTTGAAGAACACTTGTTGTTTCCAGGTAGAACCTTTTTGGCTCCAAGTAGAACCGTTTTGGCTTCCATGTAGAACCCTTTCTACCTGGAACCAAAAAGGGTTTTACCTGGAACTAAAAAGGGTTATCCTATGGGGACAGCAGAAGTACCCTTTTGGAACATTGTTTTCTAAGAGTGTAACATTAACAGTTTGAAAACGTTTTCTTGAAACACTAGCATAGAAAATGTAAACGTTGTACAAAGTTTTAGACATATTGGAAGTTCAATGAACTGTTGTGCAATACCTTTGGTCACTCCCACTAGTTTCCTGGGCATGTTTAAACAATACACTTACAATGGTAACACAACACAACTGTTCTGTCAAAAAGGCAGTGCATCACTCATGCGCACACACACACACACACACGCACGCACACACACACACACACACACACACACACACACACACACACACACACACACACTGGACAGCTTAGCACAACTTACAGCTTGGCACAGTACGATGCCATGACAATGCCAACTTGCCTAGGTTATCAAAACAGTCACATGAATCGCATCACTCATCACATATAAACAAACACACAAACATGTTTTAATAAACATACGCGTGGAAAAAAACGTGTGGACCCTGTGGGACTTCATAAAGTCAAACAAGGGATGGAGGGAAGTCAAGGCCTGACTCAACCACTATTCTACAGGTTATGAGTGGGGCTGGCTGGGTGACTCACCAGTGGCTATTGATGAAAGATAAGTTTGTTCTTGCCAGGCCCAATCTAATGCAAACTCCAAAACACACTTTAACGGCTCTGGTTTGGACAGCAGCTTACAATGGTAGCTGAATGATACGTGTGTTTACATTTAATTGACACAGAATGTGAACATTAAACACTATATAGCACTCTGTGTACATACATTACGCAACTACAGTGAGGGAAAAAAGTATTTGATCCCCTGCTGATTTTGTACGTTTGCCCACTGACAAAGAAAGGATCAGTCTATAATTCTAATGGTAGGTTTATTTGAACAGTGAGAGACAGAATAACAACAACAAAAATCCAGAAAAACGCATGTCAAAAATGTTATAAATTGATTTGCATTTTAATGAGGGAAATAAGTATTTGACCCCCTCTCAATCAGGAAGATTTCTGGCTCCCATGTGTCTTTTATACAGGTAACGAGCTGAGATTAGGAGCACACTCTTAAAGGGAGTTCTCCTAATCTCAGCTTGTTACCTGTATAAAAGACACCTGTCCACAGAAGCAATCAATCAATCAGATTCCAAACTCTCCACCATGGCCAAGACCAAAGAGCGCTCCAAGGATGTCAGGGACAAGATTGTAGACCTACACAAGGCTGGAATGGGCTACAAGACCATCACTAAGCAGCTTGGTGAGAAGGTGACAACAGTTGGTGCGATTATTCGCAAATGGAAGAAACACAAAATAACTGTCAATCTCCCTCGGCCTGGGGCTCCATGCAATGTCTCACCTCGTGGAGTTGCAATTATCATTAGAACAGTGTGGAATCAGCCCAGAACTACACAGGAGGATCTTGTCAATGATCTCAAGGCAGCTGGGACCATAGTCACCAAGAAAACAATTGGTAACACACTACGCCGTGAAGGACTGAAATCCTGCAGCGCCTGCAAGGTCCCCCTGCTCAAGAAAGCACATATACAGGCCCATCTGAAGTTTGCCAATGAACATCTGAATGATTCAGAGGAGAACTGGGTGAAAGTGTTGTGGTCAGATGAGACCAAAATGGAGCTCTTTGGCATCAACTCAACTCGCCGTGTTTGGAGGAGGAGGAATGCTGCCTATGACCCCAAGAACACCATCCCCACCGTCAAACATGGAGGCGGAAACATTATGCTTTGGGGGTGTTTTTCTGCTAAGGGGACAGGACAACTTCACCGCATCAAAGGGACGATGGACGGGGCCATGTACCGTCAAATCTTGGGTGAGAACCTCCTTCCCTCAGCCAGGGCATTGAAAATGGGTCATGGATGGGTATTCCAGCATGACAATGGCCCAAAACACACGGCCAAGGCAACAAATGAGTGGCTCAAGAAGCAGCACATTAAGGTCCTGGAGTGGCCTAGCCAGTCTCCAGATCTTAATCCCATAGAAAATCTGTGGAGGGAGCTGAAGGTTTGAGTTGCCAAACGTCAGCCTCGAAACCTTAATGACTTGGAGAAGATCTGCAAAGAGGAGTGGGACAAAATCCCTCCTGAGATGTGTGCAAACCTGGTGGCCAACTACAAGAAACGTCTGACCTCTGTGATTGCCAACAAGGGTTTTGCCACCAAGTACTAAGTCATGTTTTGCAGAGGGGTCAAATACTTATTTCCCTCATTTAAATGCAAATCAATTTATAACATTTTTGACATGCGTTTTTCTGAATTTTTTTGTTGTTATTCTGTCTCTCACTGTTTAAATTAACCTACCATTAAAATTATAGACTGATCATGTCTTTTTCAGTGGGCAAACGTACAAAATCAGCAGGGGATCAAATACTTTTTTCCCTCACTGTATGTGTCTGAATAAATTACTGTAGGCTATAGATATCTGTCACCACATTGTGTGAGATCCAAAAGTACAGTAGAGAGTAATAAAAACTAAATTAATCCCTTTTTTGATCACCAAGGAGACTGAAAAACAAATATGATGTTACCACAACAGACCAACGCAGTGTGATCTGTTCTACTGAAGGTTGTGATGGTTTCACAATCAGGCCTGTTGTAACCCTGACATGTTTACTTTGGAGGAGGATGAGGAAAGAACGCACATCCATCCTGGCACTTATCTCTCTCCTGTTATTCACTGCTCCACATAAAGATAGACATATATGGGACATGTAACGCAATACTTGACATGATGAAGTTTTGTTCAGAATAACAATGTACTATATGGAATGCTATGGGCCTTTAGATCATGAGTTTCAGGGCTCCAGACTAACTTTTTCAGTTGGTTGCACCAGCCCATGATTTGGTGACACCAATTATTTTTTTGCGGCATCACACAATAGAAAAATGTAGTAATCATCTTATAAATTAATATACTATGCTTTATTAAGAGGGGTAATAGACTTCTGAAGTCGTATTCAATGTCATGATTCAAGATATTTTGATGTGCAACCTAAAATTCAGGGAATCTTCCTGGGAGGTTTTATTAACGTTCTGAGAATGGAAATGATAGGTTATTTGAAGGTAATTAAATAACGTTCTAAAAACATTTTTCAATAAGACTTTTAATAACACTGCTAGCTTAGTTTGAGTTTACTGTTTTGAACTCAAATCACAGGTAGGACACATAGAAATTCATTTGGTTAGGCATTAATCATGCAAACAAATGTATTTTTTATTGTGGCATGTGAGATTCAAACCTATGATCTTCTTCTGTTCTCTATCCATGGAATTAGTCCACTGCACCACCACGATGGGGCTAGCATGCCATGCTTTTATAACTCATACAAAGCTGTTTATTTTGTTTCAAAGGAAACAAGCAATCATTAAGACCAGGTGTGGCCAATTAGTGGGTGCGGCAAACACAGCTGAACACACTTAACAAGATAGAGGATAGAGAGAGTTTTGTTGATGCTGAGAATAGTGTATGTGTTTTTTAAATAACATTTTTAGAACTCTGAACATTACTAAATTGTTCTTGTTTTTTTTATGGAACGTTTTCTTAACGTTCTCGGAACAATTTGAGGACATTACTTTAAATAGAACCATGAGGAAACCTGTAGGAAATGTTATACTGAAATTCTCACAGAAGAACATTGTTTCTTAAAGTTCTCTGAAATATTTGAGAATATTCCCAATGTCAAACAAGTTGGAGAACGTTCCTAGAACATTACCAAAATGTTATACAATTTAACAATGTTTGAACTCTGTTAAAGTAATGAAATACCAAGAAAATTCCGTTATTTTCTCAAGTTCCTTCCATGTGCTAAGAATGTTCCAAAGCTAAGCAACTATCCTGAAAAATAACCATAGGACAACCACGATCTCACCAAGCTCTAAGAAACATATGGTTCTCAGAACGTTATATGCTAGCTGGGTAGCTAGATCATTAACTCTAAACATAATACCCACTCCTGGTAGCCATGTATTAATTTAACATTAAATGTAATGTCCTAAAAAATACTTCTCAAAGCCATATCAAATATCTTGGTTGTAAAATAATTGCTATAGAGCTCAATATTAAGAGTTGAGAAATACAAATTATACCTACAGAAAGCTGAGAATATTCTCTCTTCAACAGTGACAACATAAGTTGCCTCCAAAGCTGTGTTATCCCCGCAGTTGGATTTTGAAATGTTACAGCCTACAATCAGAACCCATTATTTTCTCCCGGAGCGAGTTGGGAGAGGGAGTGAGGTTTGATCATCACAGAAGTAAGCTCCAGCGAAACAGGCACAGGGGCAGGGGAGCAACTTTCATTACAGTAAAGAATGAGAATAATGCACATTACTGTTTGACCAAATCCTGCTTTTAGTAGCCTAAACAAGAGGACGTTTGGAGTGAGGTGAGCATGTAGAATGTGCAGCTCAGACCGATGTGACCAATAAAAACTGTAACTCGCACAGCCAAGACTAAATGGTCACAGTCTGGAGCCCTGCAGTTGAGTGATTTCTGACAAAATGGAAGAAATGCAACAGATCTTGGAATAATTTTTATTCCAAATATCCCTAGAAAACAAAGTTGGTGGCAGAGAAATTAGACTGGATCTTAGTAAAACCAGGGGGGAGGGGCTAGGAAACACATCTCGTTCAAACAGGCAGGTCTGTATGTTGCAATAATGATTGCTAAGTCGTCACTGCAGCACAACAAAGAGTGCTTTATTTCCCCAGAAGATGACTGGTGTCAGCATGATCCCTAGGTCTTTATTGGATACCACTCTGTGGGTCTGTGTGTATACAGTACCTACGGTATGTGATTTTGTCTTTGTATATACAGTGTGTGTGTGCAGGGGGATGATGTTCAAAGCAGGGTTATGTTTGCATTGTAGTCCTCTAGAAAGACTGTGTTTGCCCAAAAACAGCTAGAATAGTTATTGACTTCTACCTAGTCCCCTCAAACAACAGAAACACTTCCTCCCACCACACACACACTCACACACACATTACATGAATATCCTGCTACTATACATGGTTTGCAGAATGATAGGAACTGCATTGACAGGGTCAATAGTCTTTTGAAGGTCACGCACACACACACACACACACACACGCGCGCGCGCGCGCGAGCACACACACACACACACACACACACACACACACACACACACACACACACAGACACACACACACACACACATGCACAAATAACAGGATGTGCAGCACACGCACACACTCCTATAATACTCTGACCCAGATTGCATTGCATTGGCTTTGGATGTAAAAATAACAATAGGCTACACCTTTAATGTCAAGTGCTATATTCCCAGGTCAGATCATTGTCACATGCCACCAGGTAATCTGGTATTTTAACTACCTAAAGCTGAATCTGGGTCAGTTGTAACAGTTTGTATGTCTAGTCTCAGACTGTACCAGCCACATTCCATTGCCTGGACTGAAAACAGACCAATGGACTGTCACAGGTTATCCAAACTTAAACTTTGCAGGTAACAGTTACTTACTCTCGTCTAGTTGAACCTGGAGCACCAAATTGCTGTATACATAGAGACAGACTGCATTCACACTCCCTAGCCTTCGTTTATAACAGGCACAAACATGCGTCCTCTGTCTTGATCTTGTTCACATTCTGATTGTGCCCACATTTTCAGAAATGCGTTTACACATGGTATTAAGATGTGTCTCTTATCCCTCCACTGTATCCGCATTGTGACCAGATTTCATAGTCTCCCTATATGCAAAATATTTGACAGATAATTCTTCTAAATTATATTTCTTTATTTTAAGACACATCTTGATGCCATAAGTCAGTAGTGCGCCGCCAGCTGTCAATGATTTTAGATGATGGGATAATGGTGAATGGTTACATTGTTTCCCTGTCCAGACACAATGTGTGCTTGACTAATTCCTGAGTTGGCCAGGAAGATCTGATCACAATCAGTATGTTGACAAGATCAGGGCAAAGCACACATGTTAGAACCAGGTATAAACGGGGCTCCTTATGTTACTCTAGAATGGAAACAATGAAGCCAGGTGTGGTGGAGGATCTTCAGCCTCAGAAGTCCTTCTTTAATTATCATACCAATCATAGTCCTCCGAACTTGATAGAAAGGCCTGTCTCAAAGTGGAGAAAACACTACCTGTCAATGACAACCAGTCAAGTATTCACATAAGCCCACGCACACACGAGAGTCACCTGAGTCACAGCAAAGCTGTATACTTTTCATATTTTACAATCCATTATCTAGGCATCAGGAGCAGGGACACTTTTGAGGGCTGGGCTTGGGAAATGTAACCACTCCGAAATGTAACCACTCTGAATGAACACACACACACACACGTTTGTTTTACTATCCTTGTGGGGACCAAACAATTGATTCCCATTCAAAATCCTATTTTCCCTAACCCCTAAACCTAACCCTAACTCTTAACCTAACCCTAACCTTAACCCCTAACCCTAACCCTAACCCTAACTCCTAACCCTTACCCTTACCCTTACCCTTACCCTAACCCTTAAACTAACCCCTAACCCTAATTCTAATTGTAACCCTAAACATAAAATAGTATTTTGCGAAATTTCCTCACTTGTCAGAATTGTCCTTCTGGTCACCACAAGGAGAGTAAACCAAAATCACACACACATACACACACCCAATTCGCTATGATGTTATCAATCCCCTGCGTATGCCAACACCTTGCATTGTATTTTAGAGAGTGTAATAGCTAGCCTAGCAGCCTATATGTCAAAACAAAAGGTTAACTTACAAATTTGTGTGTAATGGCATGGTGTTTTATGTACACTTCCGCTGAAGTAACCTCATAGGCCGATCTATGATTATTATCTTGTGAATGTAAGTCACGGATTGCGTGGAGAACGATTGCGCGTCCCTGTCGGGCTCAAGGGCTGCCCCCAAACCCCTGTCATGGAACTTGCATAGCCACGGGGCAGGGAGGAATGTTAAATCCCCATTTAAGACAGCGATTTTACAGTCCATTATTATAACCTAACAGGTCTATCCACTAGCTTCTATAAGGTGAACAAGTGGTAGCCTAAGTTAGTTGTATAGCTGAGACTAATGCATAGCCTGTAGCATAACGGAGACTATGCCCCTGTTTTGGGATAACCTTCATTCTTCCCATCCTTGAAAACATCACCGATAGATGGATACCTGAAAGGAGATTTTAGGCTAGGCTACCAACCAAGTCATGTCAGATCAGTGATTATTTATTTATTGATCATTGATCTAATAGACCTATATTTAGATCAATGATTATTTCAAGAAAGGGAGAATCCATCCACTCTGAATTTGCCAGGAGGAAACTTGGTGTCTGTGTGTGTGTGTGTGTGTGTGCGAGCATGAGTGCGTGTGCAGCGATGCCTGTTTAAACAATTGTATTTGATCATTAGATTGATGGCCGTTTCTTTTGCCCTTACATTTTACCCCCCATACACACACACCTGCATACACACACAACCCACCCATATCTACCTATGTATGTAACTACACAGCCTCGAAATACCTCGTCCAAGTCTGTGTGGTTCCTCCTTTTGAAAAGACCCAATCTGTGGCACAACCTCTTCCAGGTCCTAATTCGTATTAATTATATGGTTAATATGTGCTTAAAGAGCAAGGATTTCCTTGTTACTAAAGTCAATTCTAATGTATAGTTTCAGCAGTCATCTAACTCAGCCATTTTAACTGTGGCACGCACAGCAACAGGGAGCCAGGGAGGAATGCAATTAACCAAATCTTCTACTTTAATCTTGAAATTGTATTACTTGACCCTAACTGCGACTTTATTCTCAAAATGTAGACTTCATTTTAGAATTGTTGACTTTATTCTCTAAATTACATTTCGAGTTAATTCTTGAAATATTGCAACTTTATTCACAAAATTAAATTTTTACTTTATTCTCGAAAATTAATTGAGACCTTATTCTCAAAATGTCTACGTTATTCTCAAAGTATTTTGAGTTTTTAAAGTAATATCTGTGCAAGTACCACCAGCCATCACCATTAAACAAATGTATTTTCACTTGGCCCCAATACTCTTCCGTACATGAAAAATATAAAGTAATACAACCTTTTATTTTGGATGATGATAGGTAGGGTAAAACAGGTGTACTAAGCTGAATTGAATTGACCATTGAAAAGCAAAGCCTTGATTCATTGTCTCAAAATCAAGAGTTGGCCTTAACAAGATACAACAGCACAACCTACTAAATACCCATCAGAGCTGTAGGCTACGTCCGGCCTTGTCGGCCCTGTGATTGTGTCAGTGTTTATGTGTTGGTGATGGTGATGGAGTGACGCCTAAAGCATCCATTTTACCTGGAGGTGTAGAGAGTAATCTGTCAACATAGAGAAATGTGGGGAGGAGAAACAATAAAGACCAATAGAGCAGGGACCAACATACTGTCACTCAGAGAGATAGTGCTGATATGGTAACTGTGACCTTGCCATGACGCCTCAGCCATTGGGTTTAAATGGCTGTTAAGCTAAGTCTTTTCAACTCCTTTTCTTTTCTGTATGTATTTTTAAATAAAGCAATAAAGGAACTAGTCAAACAAAACATTTAATTCAGGAGAGCAAATTCTACAGGATCTCTCAACCTTGGTTCTGGGTTCATACCATGCGCATTCTATTTCACTGCAGACAAGTGCTCACTGCAGACAAGTACTTAAGGTTTCTACTTCTCTAGACTCCAAAACCAGTCAGACATGACAGTTAAATTCCAAGTACATCTCCCAACCCCTTGGAAAGCACTGGGCGATATGCTTCACTCATCTTGAGCTCATGGAGACAGGTTTTTTTTCTCCCTACATCCTCCACTGTCCCACCTCCTCATTCCCACGCCTCGCAACCCCTCCATACTCCTCCCTCTCACTCACGCCTCCCACCCATCACTCACTCCAACCTCACCCCATCCCCTTCCTCATTCCATCCCTGTTTTTGCTCCCTCTCTCCGACCTCACCCTCTATTCTGTTTCTACCTGCAGGGCCCTGTCTGGTACTCTCTCTTAATCCACTCAAACTCACACAAGCGCTCAATATGATAATGCTCACTACCTAGGATAGCACAGATATGACTCCCCTCAACCTTTACCATGAACGATTAGAGTTTGTAATTACAATTTTTTATGCTTTTGACAACTGTCCTTCATGCTCTCCACTGACAGGCCTTGTCCCATATGAAATGGTTGTTTTCTTGACACAAACATATAGAACCTCCCCCTGGGAGTGAGGTATGGCCAACACCGGTTTAGGAATCCAGGCAGCAATACTGTCTGTCAGTAGGAGAGGATATCAATAGGGCTGATATGGACAGAATGGTGAATCAATGTCTTATCTAATGGTCCTAAAGTAGGGAACTATTTGTCAAAGCTTTGCTTGCTAAGTGCATTCCAATGGAGTGACTCTGATGATCGAGGGAACGCGGAACAGGTAGGGGAATAAATTATGTCACATCAGAGAAGATTTACACAGATTTATCTGGTAAAGAAAAGCCGTTCAAGCCTGGGAAATATGAATAATGGAGCAAGGAATGTTTAAATAAGTGAAAAAGTGATTGGAACTAGAGCAATCGAGTATGTCTACACAGCGACATGATCGCTAGTCTACATCTTCTAATTCTATGATTGAAACATGTCAGCTGATGAGCTTTGTGACTGTGTCTGCGTGCTGTGTCTCACCACAATATTATCAGTCAAACACAATGGCATCTTTCCTTTCGCTCTACAATACGTTTCATACAAACCCTCTCCCCGGGCCAGCTGGGATCAAAGTGAAAGCAGGGAGCTGGTGACAGACCACTAATAGACTGACTCTGCTCTGATCTGCAGCAGTTGGCAGTCAGGCTACCTCTGTTTATTGTTCTGAGTTCCCCTGGCAAACTCCATCAACAGAAATGAAAATAACCCTTTACTACAGATACTGCATGTGTCCGCTTCTACAGGAGAGAACTGAGTTCATACAATCTGTAACTGAACTGCCACATTCCCACATTCCCAATAAACAATAACATCAAAACATCAAAACTCATAAGGAATTAATCTATGAATAATATCATCAAAGTCTTACCAACGGAAATCTCCTACAGGTAAAATAACACATAACATTAACTTCAGGGAACTAAACTGGAATGTGTCTACTACGAAATCTTCAATGGTAGTTGAAACCATGGCAAACTTAAACAAGCATGGAGAGAATATCCATATTCATTCATCCCAGAAGGTAAATTGTACTATGGCCAATGGCCATGTAAAGCTAGTTGTCCAGGGGCACAGCCTACTCTTTGCTTAAAACAACTACAATTTCAGTAGTAGATAATGAAAACAGACAAAGACGACCAGTACACACACCCATAGAACACAATGTTGGGATTTGAGAGCAGACTACTTTAACCAACAGTAGGAAACAACAACATTAGTGTCACAAAGGGGACCATCCTTCCAGTTGTTACAGTCCAAACCCATAGTAAATGAGTCATACCATAACATTGCATGTGTTAATCAGGAGCACAGGTAGGCCTATAAGCTACAGCGTCGGAGTGTTGGAGCAGTCCTATAGTGTGAAGGGAAACCACAGGTGTTGTGTTAGTATCCACTTGGCCCTGTCCACACCTTCCCCCCAGGCACTCACCACAACCTGGCTGTTTACACATCATACTGGAGAGCCTGTCAGTACAGAGTCTAGTAGGAATATAGAGCAGTTGTACGCTCAACGATACTGATAGAGACTTGTCTATAAGGCTCATAGCCAATGTTCCCTCTAAACTGCGCAGGTGCGCGGGCGCGCAGTTCCCAAGGGATTGCTCTGCAGAAGAAATATCAGCCCCTGCAGAGAAGCACGAGATTGAACTTCACTCAACATTTCCCATTACTGTGGGAATTGTGATCAAAACAACGCAAACACTGTCCACTTTCAATGCAACATACCGAAACAAAACTAACTCTGCAAGACTTAGTATGCAAAACTAACTATGCAAGCGATTTTGTTGTAGGCAGAACGCACCGGAGTAAGATTCTATTGCATTGACAGGCAGGACTCAGTCCTGTACTCTACACAGACCGGTGCCATAACGGCAGTAGGCCTATATGCAAATAGACCATTGCCATAATGCATCTGTGCCATTCACTTTGAAATGGACTGTGTTTACAGCATGAGCAGTCATGAGTAGATGTGCTTGTTTTGAGACCAAATCGAGAGCTGCATGCAGCCACGTGTGCACATTTGTTCATACCCTTTGCTAGTTAGTGAGTAATTAGCCCAGTTATAGATCCTTTGTAGTCAGCAATGGGGGAGTGATTGCTTCTTACAAGACCACAAAACGTCTGCATTTATAGACATCTTTGAAAAGCGAGTCGGGTAAAGAGCTTTTTTTTTCTTAAAGGGGCGGTGTTGTATTTTGAGACAGGCTTGTATAAGCTAAGTAGCCAATAGCCAGAGGGTAGCATAATTTGTCTGATTCTCTGTAATAATGGTATGGGAATAATAATCAATTTTATTTTGTAAAGTGGTTTCTTGCATCAACACAGCAACATTTTCAGTCACCTCCTTGTCTGAAGGATAAGTGGATAAACAGGTTAACAGTTTGGATGTATGCACTCACTAACTGTAAGTCACTCTGGATAAGAGCGTCTGCTAAATGACTAAAATGTAAATGTAAAAATGTTAATGTCAAGCCCTGCATGTTTTTTTCAAAAGTCTCATGGAATGTAGGCCTACATTGAACACAACACATTGGCTGCTACTGTAGTCTGAACGATAGAACAGCTATTTCCATGTTATGGGATGCATTTTCTCCATTGTTTTTGATCATAAGCCACTCTGGTAGGCCTATATTATGATCATCCACAGTAGCCTACTTGACCACTGTCTGAAACTGTAACTTAAAGTAGGTACAGCCTCAGTGTTCACAGTAAACGCACACTGGAAGTTGCAGAGAATTTTCACAACGTTCAAGTTTGCGCTCAGCAGACCTGAAATTTGCTCACTGCCTAAAACAATTAGAGGGAGCATTGCTCATAGCCCCAAGTTTTGATACGATGTCATTGTGTCAGTGAAGGATGCATGTTGGGGGAAAAGGCCTACATGAGAGAAATGTAACTAAATTACTTTCATACATGCTCTGCTATTATGTTACTTCTGTCCAAAACTTGAACTGAATACACAGTGCAGTACTTAGCCGCAGGCTTGGAAATATAAAAGACAGGAGGAAAATAAACAATATATAACTCAAAACTCACAAAGCACATGAAAGAGAGCAACTGCACCTCAATCAGTGTCCCCTTTCTGTCACAAAACACCATTTACAGTACATTACTGAAAACAATCTATCAGTTCTATAGTATGATAAGCAAATAATTTATCCAAGCTGTAAGGCTGTGAATGTTTGGACAAACTGTGCAAACTGACTATGTGGGTCATATCAGGTAGCTTAGTGGTTAAGAGTATTGTGCCAGTAACTGAAAGGTTGCTGGTTCTAATCCCCGAGCCGACTAGGTGAAAAATCTGTTGATGTGCCCTTGAGCAAGGCACTTAACCCTAATTGCTCTGGATAAGAGTGTCTGCTAAATGACTAAAAATATCTAAAACAAATACATCCCTTCCCACTATTCAACATTATGTAAAATGAAGGACTGTGAGTAAGCCCATAAAGCAAAACAAGAGGCACTCTGTTTTGGAATGGTGTTCGGTCTTATAATTCCAGTATGGGTGGGCAGCAAAATTAAAGGGTGCTTGTTTTGTTGAAGAAATGATAATGGAACCACAGAAAGACATGGATTATTAGGTTAATGATGCTAACATTTTGATGGATGCATGAGGGCCTGTGCACTGGTACAGTATGTGACTTGTCTTTTCTCATCCAAAACCATACATTCAAGCATGCTGGAGCCATGAGCTACACCTTTCTGGCATTCCGTCTGGCAACTGTGCTACAATCCAAATCATTACATATCCCTTACCTATGCTTTGTATAGAATTTCAGCTGAGGGCCATTTGAAACCTTACATTGACAACTGTTTTGAGCGCAAGACTTGTGTCATTCACAGTGGAGAAAAACGATTGTGTCACTTATACCTTATGACTGAGAATACAGAACTGTACTAGGGTGCTATAAATAGGTTTGTTTATATAGGGGTGTTGTTGACAGAGTACGGTAGAAGGTTTAGGAATTTGGAGCATATCTCTGAAAACATATCTGAACAAAGATATGTTACTGTATGTAAACTGAATGGCCTGTGTTTCTTTGAGCTACAATGAACAAACAAACACAGGACAGAAAGTAAGTCCACCTGGTTTTCTGTGATGACAGTCACTGCGGTATTGCAATAAAAAGTTACAGCAGTTCTCCTCTAACCTCAAGAACAGATAGGATCTGTTAGCATGCATTTACCGGGAATCTGAAAACTTCCTCTATCTCCATTTAATATGCTGAACGAGTGCATGCGTGTTTGTGCGTGTGAGTCATATTCCTCCCTGTCAGGCCTGCATGGATCACACATCACTGAGCTCAGGCTGATATGATTGCACTGCATGGGACTACCGGTGCAGCAAGTTTCTGATCAACTATTCAAATATTATGTAAGGCTGGCCAGGCCACCTCCTCAGCCAGGCATATGATGCACACTACATCACCATCACACCGGATTAGTCAGTAGTCAAAGTTCAATGCTAAAACAATACAATGTGTAGGAGGAAAACAACACTTTGTCTGAATTAATGCATGCATATTTGTAAGGCCAATTACACTGGATAGCACCATGTGCGTGAGAGTCCCACCATAAGGATTTACAATGTATCTGTCTGACAGTGGACGAACCCTGTTAGGTTATGGTTGACTGTCATCATCTTGTTGGGAGAGTTGTTGGGGTGTGTTATGGAATTTGGTTTATAATGGAAAACATATGCAGTACACTTGCATAACCATGAGGAGAGAGTCTATAGCTTTTTGAAAGTACTGTAATATCAATAAATAACATAGTATTTACACTGCATAGTAACACAGACATACAGGTTGGATAGATGCAAGTGTGACAGTGACTATCTGCTGTTTGTCTTCAATGGTCATTTCAATGATATACGGTACCCATTGGTTTTTGAATATTATAAACTGGTTGGTTCGAGCCCTGAATGCTGATTGGCTGAAAGCCGTGGTATATCAGACCGTATACCACGGGCATGACAACACATTTATTTTTACTGCTCTAATTACATGGGTAACCAGTTTACAGTGGGGAAAAAAACGTATTTAGTCAGCCACCAATTGTGCAAGTTCTCCCACTTAAAAAGATTAGAGAGGCCTGTAATTTTCATCACAGGTACACGTCAACTATGACAGACAAACTGAGAAAAAAAATCCAGAAAATCACATTGTAGGATTTTTTATGAATTTATTTGCAAATTATGGTGGAAAATAAGTATTTGGTCAATAACAAAAGTTTCTCAATACTTTGTTATATACCCTTTGTTGGCAATGACACAGGTCAAATATTTTCTGTAAGTCTTCACAAGGTTTTCACACACTGTTGCTGGTATTTTGGCCCATTCCTCCATGCAGATCTCCTCTAGAGCAGTGATGTTTTGGGGCTGTCGCTGAGCAACACGGACTTTCAACTCCCTCCAAAGATTTTCTATGGGGTTGAGATCTGGAGACTGGCTAGGCCACTCCAGGACCTTGAAATGCTTCTTACGAAGCCACTCCTTTGTTGCCCGGGCGGTGTGTTTGGGATCATTGTCATGCTGAAAGACCCAGCCACGTTTCATCTTCAATGCCCTTGCTGATGGAAGGAGGTTTTCACTCAAAATTTCACGATACATGGCCCCATTCATTCTTTCCTTTACACGGATCAGTCGTCCTGGTCCCTTTGCAGAAAAACAGCCCCAAAGCATGATGTTTCCACCCCCATGCTTCACAGTAGGTATGGTGTTCTTTGGATGCAACTCAGCATTCTTTGTCCTCCAAACACGACGAGTTGAGTTTTTACCAAAAAGTTATATTTTGGTTTCATCTGACCATATGACATTCTCCCAATCCTCTTCTGGATCATCCAAATGCACTCTAGCAAACTTCAGACGGGCCTGGACATGTACTGGCTTAAGCAGGGGGACACGTCTGGCACTGCAGGATTTGAGTCCCTGGCGGCGTAGTGTGTTACTGATGGTAGGCTTTGTTACTTTGGTCCCAGCTCTCTGCAGGTCATTCACTAGGTCCCCCCGTGTGGTTCTGGGATTTTTGGTCACCGTTCTTGTTATCATTTTGACCCCACGGGGTGAGTTCTTGCGTGGAGCCCCAGATCGAGGGAGATTATCAGTGGTCTTGTATGTCTTCCATTTCCTAATAATTGCTCCCACAGTTGATTTCTTCAAACCAGGCTGCTTACCTATTGCAGATTCAGTCTTCCCAGCCTGGTGCAGGTCTACAATTTTGTTTCTGGTGTCCTTTGACAGCTCTTTGGTCTTGGCCATAGTGGAGTTTGGAGTGTGACTGTTTGAGGTTGTGGACAGGTGTCTTTTATACTGATAACAAGTTCAAACAGGTGCCATTAATACAGGTAACGAGTGGAAGGACAGAGGAGCCTCTTAAAGAAGAAGATACAGGTCTGTGAGAGCCAGAAATCTTGCTTGTTTGTAGGTGACCAAATACTTATTTTCCACCATAATTTGCAAATAAATTCATTAAAAATCCTACAATGTGATTTTCTGGATTTCTTTTTCTCAATTTGTCTGTCATAGTTGACGTGTACCTATGATGAAAATTACAGGCCTCTCTCATCTTTTTAAGTGGGAGAACTTGCACAATTGGTGGCTGACTAAATACTTTTTCCCCCCACTGTATAATAGCAATAAGGCTCCTCAGGGGTTTGTGGTATATGGCCAATATACCACGGCTAAGGGCTGTGTCCAGGCACTCCACGTTGCGTTGTGCATAAGAACAGCCCTTAGCCGTGGTATATAGGCCATATACCACACCTTCTCGGGCCTTATTGTTTAAATATAACTTATGCATTATGAGTTGAGTATCCCTGTCGGTTACACTTTACCTAAAAACATTTTCACCGCCATAAGGGCAACATAATCATGACATAACCGCCATGAACAATTAGCAGCTGCCATGGCTGTTCATGCCATATGGTAAGCCATGTATAGCTTCAAAATATGTTTAAAAATATCGAGACACATTTCCTCAACCCCATCCAGGCTGATACAATTACAGATTGCACACTTAAATCCACCCAAACATTTAAGAACAAACAAATAATAAACCACAGTTTAACACAGGGCTATCCAACCCTGTTCCTTGAGAGCTACTGTTTTATAGGTTTTCGCTCCAACCCTAATCTAGCAGGATGGAGCGAATCTAACTGATTCTAATTACCTGGATGATAAACTGAATCAGGTTAGTTACAACCAGTGTTGGAGCAAAAACCTACAGGAGGGTAGCTGTCCAGGAACATGGTTTGATAACCCTGGTTTAACATAAGTTTTTCCCATTTAAATGTTCACCTCATTTACCCCGTTACCCTTCTCACACCTTGTTATTGCTTTTCCCATTGTTATACTGCTGCTGCTTGCTGGTAAATTCCCCATTATGTCTCACAGATGGAAGGATGCCGGTCACGACCCAAACTTCAGATCAAACTTGTTTCCCTTCAACAGTGACCAAAACCTGACAAGACTGAACTAGACGAGCAGGAACTCGACACCTCACTGGTTTACCTGTAGAAACTGCCACAGGGGAAAAGATACACTCTGCTCTGCGTTTAGCATGACATGAATACATCAAACTATATTCAGTCGACAAACACCTCCAGTGCAGTAATACATGTGAACATTATTGGAGGAATGAGTTTAACTTGAGAAACATATGTCTGGTCTGGTGGTGGTTTGTTACAGTATTAGCTAGCTATAGTGTTACCTGGAATACCATAGAGTTGTTATGTATTGTAGGCCCGTCTGAAATATAGGATTAACTGGGACTGTAATCTATTACGCTATAATATGCACATACAGTAAGTACTTGAGGAACTCACTTTATCTTTATGAGAGTACAAATGAGAGAATGCAGGTGGAGAATTACACCCTTCCTGCATATTACCTGGCCTGATCCCAGATGTGTTTGCGCTATCTTGCCAACTACTTGTGACTCATTGTTTGGCGTGAAAATTCCAAATAATTTATGTTTTATCCAGCCCATCATATCAGGTAGGCCTATTTCTGTTGAAATCCAGAAGCCAATCTCAACTACATTGCTAACCAACCCATCAACACACATACACACACACACACACACACACACGACTAATAGCTGTTGTTACACTGTGCAGATCATGGTGCATTCATACATTAAAGTAGCCAGTTCTTCTAATAATTGCTCCTCATACAAGACAAAGACAGTGGGATTAGGCAATCAGTCAATAGAAGATCTGTGATAACTCTACAGGGATTTAAAACATATTATAAACTGGGTGGTTCGAGCCTTGAATGCTGATTGGCTGACGGCTGTGGTCCTTTGTAGCTCAATTGGTAGAGCATGGCGCTTGTAACGCCAGGGTGGTGGGTTCGATCCCCGGGACCACCCATACGTAAAAATGTATGCACACATGACTGTAAGTCGCTTTGGATAAAAATGTCTGCTAAATGGCATATTATTATTATATAACACAGGTATGACAAAACCTTTATTTTTAATTACGCTGGTAACCAGTTTATAATAGCAATAAGGCACCTCAGGGGTTTGTGGTATATGGCCAGCACTCCACGTTGCGTTGTGCTTAAGGACAGCCCTTAGCCTTGGTAGATTGGCCATATACCAAACCATCCTCAGGCCTTATTGCTTAAATATATTCTTAATCACATCTCTGAATGCAAATAGCCTGTTTCTCAATAAAATCCCCAATTATTGACTATGGAGGTGAGCTTTAAGGCAAATAACCATACTGTTAAAATCAGTCTATTTGTTGATTTGTTGTCAGAAGTATAACTCTGCCTGAGGTAGGCCTACCTGTATCATAGCCTAAATTGTGGCCTACATTTGAGCGCCAAGCTGGTGCTGACAGGTATCAATGCAGGTAGCCTGCAGGGTAAGATATGCCATCCATTCTGTCATAGTGGCATGAAACATTGGGGCAAATTAGGATAGGTAGGCCTATCTATTTTATGTCTTACCTTTAAGCGCAAGAGCTAGGCTACCTATATAAATAGTGTCAACAAATCAAGGTGATAATGTAATAATAGACCTACCCCAGTCCCCACAAATTATCATAAAGATTATATTTTACATGTTACTGCTGAAGCTGTCGAGCTCGTCGGCACCGTTACAGAACAATGGGTCATCGATGCTCCCTGAGTCCTTGGAGTGTTTCTTCTTGCGCTTCAAGGACGGGAACCGTTTCTTCTTCTTTTTCTCGTTGCTCGGCGGACTCGTAGGTAGAATCTCACCGGGAAGCGTCCCATCATGTGGGCTGACAAGTCCGGGACTCGACGGTAACGCGCTTGCAGGTTCCCCATCTACATATGAAGTTACATCTTTAAATGTGTGCTTTCCACCATCCTTGTTTTCTTTATCAGGTGACTTTGTTTTATGAAACAATTTATTTATTTTAAATGTTCCAGATTTACTCATGGTTGCCCGAAATTCTGCTTTTCAATAAAGTCGATAATAAATTGAATTGAAAAAATTATACAACAATCGAAATAAGAAACCAAAAAGGTTGATTCAACCGATCCACGCAGACTATTTGCAAGCTATAGCAATGGAAAAAACGCATGCCAAGTGGCCAAGAGCGCATTTCCAAATGCGCAGGTGATAAAGGTGCTCTACCTGTCTCAGTTGAACTTCTAAATCTCTTAACTCCTTTACCGCGGAGTGTCGTCTTCCGGGTCCTAAAATAGTTCCAGCACACTCTCAGAGCCACCCGCAGCTACAGGTAAAAGGTGCTCATATTTGTCACAGTGATAAACAACCAATGATGAATAATTATGATGATTCATTTTCATACATGAATCACACGTTGCTCAAGCAGAGCTGTATCCACTTATTTGACTGGTGCTGGCACTCAATATTCCAAATAGTAGACACAACTTTTTTTGTCCAAACCTTTTGTCCTTTACTTGTAGGCCTATGCCAATACAATATCTAAATATTTCATTTATAAAGGGTGTTTTATTTGGGCAAGAAGAAAATTGTATATCTTGTGTCTCACATAGAAATGTAGGCTATGCTATATCCAAACTGTGTCAAGTGGGCATTTTGTGGCATAAAAGCCTAATCACTGGGCAAAACCTGTCTCAATAGTTGCATTTTGTACATGTTGGCCCTCCCTGCTGGCCAAATTGGGGATGTTCAAGATCAAATGTATTTATTTATTCACATGGCAGAATACAATTGAGATCTGGAAGAATCAAAGGACCAGTTTCTCATCCACACGAACTACATTGTCACGAAACAATCCAAATCGACCTCTAGCCCCCAAATCGACCTCTAGCTATTCACCTTTGTGGAGGATTTAAAATGCGATCTCCCAGGTTTGGCTCTGTCGCTCTGAGGCAGAGGAAATCAATTATTTTTCTGGATAGGCCAGAAAATGTGACACATCACTCCCTATGCAAATGTGGGATGTGAAACCTGACACTTCAAGTCAGCTCCGCTGACAGATTGGTAGCCGAAAGCAGACAGATGAGGCCTTCTGGCACTATAAGGCAGTGGTTCTCAAACCTCTCCTCTGGGACCCCAGCCGTTTCATGTATTTGGTCGCTTTGGATAAAAGCGTCTGCTAAATGGCATATTATTATTATTATTATTATTATTATTATCTATTCCACAGCTAGCACACATGATTCAATTTGTCAACTAATCATCAAGCCCTTGGCTAGGTGAATCAGGTGAGCTAGTTCAGGGCCACAACAAAATTGTGAGACATCTAGGGGTACCCAAGAAGAGGTTTGAGAACCACTGCTATAAGGCACTGGACCCTGCAAAGTTCACAGAGCGCTTTGTACACCAAAATATCAGACGGAACTGGTCCAGAACCACTCAAAGTCCCCCAAATAGACGACTTAACATCTAAGAGGTTAAAACTGTAAGTATAAGCAATGTGGTAAAAACTCTCTAGAGCCTGTCGGAGGGCAAGGTGGAGCTATTGCCATAGTGCCTATTCCCATCATATCCTTTCAGATCTTATGTCTAGAATGTTGGGCCTAGGGGTTCATGTATGAATATTCAAATGTCAATTCATTTTCATGTGAAACTGAAAATGCTCAAACTGCCAAGTGAAAGTTTGATTTGAATATAAAGATGTCAGAGGGTGTGTGTAGGTATTACATACAAGCCTGCGTATCTTTGAACACAGGTGGGATGTAGATGTGCAGGAGATGAGATCAAAAAATGAGAGATCAGATAACCTGTGCAGAAGCTAGTAGCTGTGACACTGTGGGGTTTCCACCTCCCAGGAGAGACACAACCAACCACACTGAACCTCTCTGTCCTGCCCACACACACAGTAACTTCTGTCTGCAGAGATCATAAGGTAGCCTAACTAGTCTCTATAGACAGACCGTTGCTTCTGGCAATATACCAATGCTAGTTTACGTTGCACCAATGTCTGGGATATCCGAGACTATAGCCTAACATGAGTACTCTCAATTCAAGTTCATATATCTGGGAATCCTAGTTTACAGGATTGACCAGCCTTTGCCTGATTTGATTTAGAAGGATATATTTTGGACTTAACCTGACCAGAAAGTCTTTCATCAGCTGTTTTGTATCCCAGCAACCTGTCCTCTCAAGGGCTTGTCTACAGGTACAGTGGGGGAAAAAAGTATTTAGTCAGCCACCAATTGTGCAAGTTCTCCCACTTAAAAAGATGAGAGAGGCCTGTAATTTTCATCATAGGTACACGTCAACTATGACAGACAAATTGAGAATTTTTTTCTCCAGAAAATCACATTGTAGGATTTTTAATGAATTTATTTGCAAATTATGGTGGAAAATAAGTATTTGGTCACCTACAAACAAGCAAGATTTCTGGCTCTCACAGACCTGTAACTTTTATACAGACCTGTAACTCACAGTCCTCCACTCATTACCTGTATTAATGGCACCTGTTTGAACTTGTTATCCGTATAAAAGACACCTGTCCACAACCTCAAACAGTCACACTCCAAACTCCACTATGGCCAAGACCAAAGAGCTGTCAAAGGACACCAGAAACAAAATTGTAGACCTGCACCAGGCTGGGAAGACTGAATCTGCAATAGGTAAGCAGCTTGGTTTGAAGAAATCAACTGTGGGAGCAATTATTAGGAAATGGAAGACATACAAGACCACTGATAATCTCCCTCGATCTGGGGCTCCACGCAAGATCTCACCCCGTGGGGTCAAAATGATCACAAGAACGGTGAGCAAAAATCCCAGAACCACACGGGGGGACCTAGTGAATGACCTGCAGAGAGCTGGGACCAAAGTAACAAAGCCTACCATCAGTAACACACTACGCCGCCAGGGACTCAAATCCTGCAGTGCCAGACGTGTTCCCCTGCTTAAGCCAGTACATGTCCAGGCCCGTCTGAAGTTTGCTAGAGTGCATTTGGATGATCCAGGAGAGGATTGGGAGAATGTCATATGGTCAGATGAAACCAAAATAGAACTTTTTGGTCAAAACTCAACTCGTCGTGTTTGGAGGACAAAGAATGCTGAGTTGCATCCAAAGAACACCATACCTACTGTGAAGCATGGGGGTGGAAACATCATGCTTTGTGGCTGTTCTTCTGCAAAGGGACCAGGACGACTGATCCGTGTAAAGAAAAGAATGAATGGGGCCATGTATCGTGAGATTTTGAGTGAAAACCTCCTTCCATCAGCAAGGGCATTGAAGATGAAACGTGGCTGGGTCTTTCAGCATGACAATGATCCCAAACACACCGCCCGGGCAACAAAGGTGTGGCTTCGTAAGAATCATTTCAAGGTCCTGGAGTGGCCTAGCCAGTCTCCAGATCTCAACCCCATAGAAAATCGTTGGAGGGAGTTGAAAGTCCGTGTTGCCCAGCGACAGCCCCAAAACATCACTGCTCTAGATGGGCCAAAATACCAGCAACAGTGTGTGAAAACCTTGTGAAGACTTACAGAAAACGTTTGACCTGTGTCATTGCCAACAAAGGGTATATAACAAAGTATTGAGAAACTTTTGTTATTGACCAAATACTTATTTTCCACCATAATTTGCAAATAAATTCATTAAAAATCCTACAATGTGATTTTCTGGATTTTTTTTCTCATTTTGTCTGTCATAGTTGACGTGTACCTATGATGAAAATTACAGGCCTCTCTCATCTTTTTAAGTGGGAGAACTTGCACAATTGGTGGCTGACTAAATACTTTTTTTCCCCCACTGTATGTACTAATAACTTATGAAGTGTATTTGATATAAACTGGTTCTTAGTCACATCTGAAATAATGTCTAGTAATGAATGAGGCTTATAAAACCTTTGACGAACCAAAACAGTGTTATTTTCACACACACATGAACACCACCTGCTCGCTCACTCATACAGGACACATCACAGGCTTTCCCTTCCTTGAGCCTGCAAACTGGTCTCAGCGCATTTAGTATTATTCTGTACGTAAATCCAGGACACTCCATTTAGTATTATATGTTACGTTTCGTATGGTATGTATTAATTTGTGGATGTCCATTACCTATTTCGTATGATATGTTACAAATTACAATTCATATTATATTAGCAAAACGTACATTATGTTACATATTTGCAAAACTTATGATATGTTATGAATTCTAGCTTGATGGCTAACGTAAGCTGGCTTTCCATGACATAGACTGACCAAGTGAATCCACGTGAAAGCTACGATCCCTTATTGATGTTAAATCCACTTCAATCAGTGTAGATGAAGGGGAGGAGACAGGTTAAAGAAGGATTTTTAAGCCTTAAGGCAGACAATTGAGACATGGATTGTGGGTGTGTGCCATTCAGAGGGTGGTGAATGGGCAAGACAATAGATTTAAGTGCCTTTGAATAGTGTATGGTAGTAGGTGCCAGGCGCACCGGTTTGAGTGTGTCAAGAACTGCAATGCTGCTGGGTTTTTCACACACAACAGTTTCCCGTGTGAATCAAGAATGGTCCACCACCCAAAGGACATCCAGCCAACTTGACACAACTGTGGGACGCATTGGAATCAACATGGACCAGCATCCCTGTGGAACGCTTTTGACATCTTGTAGAGTCCATGCCCTGAAAAATTGAGGCTGTTCTAAGGGCAAAAGGGGGTGCAACTAAATATTAGGAAGGTGTTCCTAATGTTTTGTACACTCAGTGTATGTAGGCTACCTGTTTGAGCTCCTGTTATCAGATTCAATGTGGTTTCTCAAGGGGAGGCTGTGCAGTCTTGCCCTCTACCTGTGTCAGTTCAGATAGGACAGGTTATTCCTGATACAGAGGCTATTTCTTTTGTACATTTGGTAAATCTACTTGTATACTTTGTATGATATGACACTTTCCCCATTGGATCACCAAGGCCTGTAAATAGAATGCACGACTTGGACTTGACCTGTTCTACTTGGACCTTGTGACTTGCTTGTGACTCGAATAATAGTGACTTGGTCTGGTGTTGAGCTCGGTTTTTAGTTTTGTTTCTATAACTGTAAAGCAATATACTGTATAAGTCTCATGTATTATTATTATTATTATTATTTGAAGAGGATCTGCAACTAGTCACACTACATTCCAAGGCAAGAGCAAATCATTGAGCACTATGAGCACATTTATTCGTAACCGTTCCTAGATGATTGAGAGATTAAAGTCTTCACACTGTGGACCAGCACTATTGTGACACTGAGCACAGAGAATCTTGAAATTAATTCATAAACCATTTAAACGGCTGTCAGTGAGATACAGAGTGTTTTGGGGAAGCTAAATATGAAACAGAAACATGTATTGAGTGAAACAGGGAAGTGTATGAGATAACAGTCATGCGTGCATACATTTTTGTGTATGGGTGGTCCTCTGTAGCTCAGCTGGTAGAGCACAGCGCTTGTAACGCCAGGGTAGTGGGTTCGATCCCTGGGACCACCCATACACAAAAATGTATGCACGCATGACTGTAAGTCGCTTTGGATGAAAGCGTCTGCTAAATGGCATATTTTTATTAAGTGTCTTTTAACATAGCATGAGTGTAACATTTGAGTGGTGGCACGACAATACCACACAGTAAGCAGAATGTTCCTCATACAGTATGTCACTGTACATCTCTACAGCTATTGTACTATTATCCCTTATAAATAGCTACAGTACTTGCATAAAATAGTGCAGTTCAGCTTTACACACCTTGTTTTTTCAGTTATGTTTTTTATCAAACATAAGTCATGACAGTCATGATAATACCGTGTTTGAGCTGATTCTCAATGTGCTTATCTCATATGTATGCGACAAGCAGGCTTCACTGGCAACAGGTTGACCTGTTTTTGTCACATCAGTGTTGACCTGGAAACAAATTTGAGATGCCGTGTACAATGTGTCTCAGTATCTCTAGCCTTGGGTCTGATCAGGATCTAATCAGGGCTTTAGATCAGACAAACAGCGTTGTTACACACCTACACGTGCCTTGATGTGCTCTCGGTCATAACAGAAAATGGGGTCATTCACAAACAGCGGATGTTCTCAAGTTCTCAGACATGTTTGTTTCTCAGTAAATAGGGTTTGCACTCTGCAGTTGAACACCTTCACTGCTGTATGTGTAAAATAAGGAATGTCACATTGCAGCTACAGGTAAGGGTTCACAGTTACTGTGATGTTTATATCTTCTGTCATGGACTTGATTGTACAACATGAAAGAGTAATTCAATGACTAAATCATGATAGCAGGCCTACTACTTTTTGCAGAAAGACATTTTTTCTCTCCACAGGTGATAAACATGGAGGTGCAGACGTACACAGACGGATATGATTATGATGATCCCGATGATAACGAAATAGAATATATCTGTAAAGTGAATCTCAACCGTGATATGGAGATAGTCATTCAGACCTACGTCCATTCCTTCATCTGTGCATTCGGTCTCTGTGGCAATGCGTTGGTGATTGTCACATATGCCTTCTACAAGAAAGCCAAGACCATGACGGACATGTACCTTCTGAACGTGGCGGTGGCAGATCTGCTGTTCATAGTGGCCCTGCCGCTCATCATCTACAATGAACAGCATGACTGGAGCATGGGCTCAGCGGTCTGCAAGGTACGGGTTTGGACAGTTCCTGATGCAGTTCCTAATAAAGCTCCTGATGTTTCAATGTTGTTCATGTTACAGTGAAGTCAGATGCAGATTTCCTCATTGCATGGAATTATAAGAATGTGTTCTTCATTTTCTAAGGCCCTGCGAGGAGCCTACAGCATCAACCTGTACAGTGGCATGCTTCTGCTGGCGTGCATCAGTGGAGACCGCTACATCTCCATCGTCCAGGCCAGGCGCTCCTTCGGCCTCCGCTCCCGGACCCTGATCTACAGCCGCCTCATCTGCACAGCCATCTGGGCTCTGGCCGTAGCCCTGTCCATCCCCACAGTCATCTATAACGAGCGGGTTGAGGAGACCAACTGGTTGGGAGAGACTATAACTGTGTGCCAGGAGCAGTTCAAAAGTAACGAGAGCGCCCGGCTGATGAAGGTGTTGGTACCCAGCCTGCAGGTGGCCATGGGGTTCTTCCTGCCCCTCCTGGTCATGGTCCTCTGCTATGCCAGCATCATCTTGACCCTGCTGAGGGCCCACAGCACCCAGAGGCACAAGGTTCCAGTATCCACCAAAGTTCCAGTCATAGAATTAGAATGTTAAATTCTAAGAATACAGTCAATGTTTCTTATAGGGTCAATTAAGTTTATCTTGTTGTATCTTCTCTCGCTTAAGGCAATGCGTGTGGTCATAGCCGTGGTGGTGGTCTTCATCATGTGCCACCTGCCCTACAACGTGGCCCTGCTCTACCACACAGTGGCGCTGTTCAAGGAGAGGGAGTGTAAGAAGGAGAAGGTCATCCTCACCACCCTCACCATCACCAGGAGCGTGGCCTACCTCCACTGCTGCCTTAACCCCATCCTGTACGCCTTCATCGGAGTCAAGTTCAGGAACCACTTCAGGAAGATCCTGGAGGACCTGTGGTGCCTGGGCAGGAAGTACATCTACCCCTCGGGTCGCTCCTCACGCATGACCTCTGACCTCTATATCCCAGCTCACAGGTCCACTGACGGATCCAACAACGAGAATGGCTCCTCGTTCACCATGTGAAGATGGGAGTAGGTAGAGATTGCCTCCAACTACTATGGGTGATGATAACATGGTTAGTCAGGGACTACAGTAGTGACTGTTATATTCAGTATGAGCGTTTGTTTGATGCTGTAGCTACAGTACATGGTATTTGTCATATTGAATACTGATCATTATGTATTGAAATTGCTCTAATGTCCAATGTGTATTTACAAAACTATTGAATTATTCCTCTGTGCTTAACAATGCCAATTTGTTTCATAGCATGATACTGCTATTTGTCCAAATATAGCCAAGAATGACTCAAACATAAAAACAATAGAATAAAGATTAACTGAATGCAATCTAATAGAATGCAATGATGCTATGTGTCTTTAAATGAAATGTATTTGTCTGTGACAGATCTCATCTCTCTTTAAAAAATTCTAACATACAAATAAGCATTCACTAGTTCCATGGGATGTTTTGCATAAACCAGACTTTCAGTAAAAGTAATTTGGTGCCAAAGGGGAGCTTTCCAACAGAAAGACCAAACAGGTGCTTACTACGAAGCAGGGTGTGATCTTATTGGGTGAAATATTGCTGAATCCCAAATTTACCCCTGACCCACAAGTCAGTAGGGGAGAGTGGGGTAAGTTGAGCTAAAGGGGTAAGTTGAGCCACCCTTGTTTCCAGGAAACCATACACAAAATTAAGAATTTGACCAAATATTTAGGAAGAGGTCATCATTTCATGGAGTCTGTGAAGGAAGAAACCACATGGAAAAAGTGGTAAGGAAGTTACAGTTATCATTAACACAATAGAAAGGTCAAATGCTTTACTATCTAAATGTTGAAAGTGTGTGAGCAATGGAGAGAAACAAAATGGTGCAGTTTGTGGCCATATGGTGGAGAGTGATACAGGAGCTGGAGATGGGGGTGTGAGCATGTGGGTCTGAGCAGGTGTGATATAGTTGATGCTTGTGTGATGTTGTTGTTTGTATGTGTATGGTTTGTATTGTTATAAATATATACAGTACCAGTCAAATGTTTGGACACAACTACTCATTCAAGGGTTTTTCTTTATTTTTACTATTTTCTACATTGTGGAAAAGACATCAAAACTATGAAATAACACATATTGAATCATGTAGTAACCAAAAAAGGTTTAAACAAATCTAAATATATTTCACCCTTTACCTTGATGACAGCTCTGCACACTCTTGGTATTCTCTCAACCAGCTTCACCTGCAGCAGAGGTAACTCTGGGTCTTCCTTCCCTGTGGCGGTCCTCATGAGAGCCAGTTTCATCATAGCGCTTTATGGTTTTTGCGACTGCACTTGAAGAAACTTTCAAAGTTCTTGAAATGTTCCATATTGACTGACTCTTTGGTTATTTTAGCGGTTCTTGCCATAATATGGACTTTGTCTTTTACCAAATATGGCCATCTTCTGTATACCACTCCTTCCTTGTCACAGCACAACTGATTGGCTCAAACACATTAAGAAGGAAATAAATTCCACAAATTAACTTTTAACAAGGCACACGTGTTAATTAAAATGCATTCCAGGTGACTAGCTCATGAATCTGGTTGAGAGAATGCCAAGAGTATGCAAAGCTGTCATCAAGGCAAAGGGTGGCTACTTTGAAGAAGTGACAAGGAAAATATATTTTGATGTGTTTAACACTTTTTTGGTTTCTACATGATTCCATATCTGTTATTTCATTGTTTTGATGTCTTCACTATTATTCTACAATGTAGAAAATAGTTAAAAATTAAGAAAAACCCTGGATTGAGTAGGTGTGTCCAAACTTTTGACTCGTACTGTATTTCATAGTTTTACAATATAGATAATAGTAAAAATAAAGAAAACCCTGGAATGAGTAGGTGTGTCCAAACTTTTGACTGGAACTGTATATATATTGGAAAAATGACAGCTCCAAACACAAATCTGATGATTAATTATGAATAGGATTTATTTGATTTCTTTCATTTACATTCTTCATTGTAACCACAATGTCACAAATAATTGAACATAAACCCACACAACATGAGCAGATTAACTTTATGCTGCAAAATAGCCTACTAAATAGGCCAAGCCTAAACAAATATATTACATTGCCTAAAGAAACTAGTACATTTCATAAACAAAACAAATCAATTAAATAGCTCAGGTCTTGAAAGTATTGGCAACCTTTTTCCGTCCGTATCCTTGCTTTTCCGTCCGAAACTCACTTTATATAGAGGGGCTATCGGTCGTTCCACACCATGGTAAATAACGCCAGTTTGTAATCTTAGAATTCTTTCTGTCTGTTTTTCGAGGGAGGGAAACCAAAAGCGATACCAAAAGCATAATCAGCATTCTAACTCTCCCTTGTGATAGTGTGGAGCAATGATGCATTTTACCACAATCTGACACCGCCTACCACACAAAGTGTGGAGGCATAAGCTCAAAACTTTTAATTGAGAAACCACTGTAGGTCCCAAAAATGTATTTTCACCAAGTCAAATGAATTTATTGTGTTATCGGTTTCATGATGTTTGTATTTAAACCAAAGTAGATCATTTTAAGATTGTTCTATACTGTGCATCAGATGTCAGATCAGTCTCTATAAGCTTAAATATGATGTCCTAAACCTAGCATGAAATGTATCCTTGTAGCTGTGTGGGCTTATATTCTCAAAATGTTTGCCTTGAGTTAAGTGGAGCCAAGGGCAAGTTGAGCAAAGTGTTTTCTTCCCAGGCGTAATGGAAGGCATTATCACTGGGATATGAGATAAGAACAGCGCCTGGCCTATGTGAAAAGTGTTTAAAAAGGTACAAAATGTTTGTTAGGCGTTAAGCCTGTACTAAAATATTATTTAAATGATTAAAAGACAAAAGAGCGATTGTGATTGTGTTGAATTGTGTTTAGGAAATAAAGATAGATGGTTTTTAAAAGGTAGCGGTAATATTTCATTCAGTATAGAAATGTGTAGGTGGCTTAACTGATCCTGTCCCATGGCTCAACTCACCCCATACCCTGGGTAAGTTGTGTCAAGAGAACACTTTTTTTGGATAAGCTATGTTTTCCAAACTTTAATGTTCACATGATTTCAGATTATTTCCAGGGATACACAACATCCTGAAATATATGTAGATATCTTTGTTAGAAATAATACTATATTTCCCTTGATGGAGTGATGCTGAATCTAAAAGATGGTTCATCTTATCCCACTCTCCCCTGAAGCCTTGGAATACAGTATACTGTATTTACAAAAGCAAGCATAGTACTTTCCCTTCCCTGTGCCCATAATCACTACAAGACACATTAAGACTTTCCTCTTTATTTTCTTAACATCCTGTTTTTTATTATATGTATTAGCTTTTCAGGTAAGACACTTTTCAGCAACAAATATAGTTTTGGTTTGAGCAAAATTAGAGGAGGGTAAGAGAAAATAAAACCATTTCAGACTAAGTTTCCACATTAAAGTGTTCGTGTTGATCAGAGTCAATAGGCATAGATAGAGTGGAGGAAGAGAAGCTAAAAGTGGAGATGATAAAACAGTTGTACAACTGCGTTATAATTGGAATTAATGCATAATAGGAGAAGGTCTATAGTATTTGTGTCACAGAAGACACCTGTAATGTTCTTAAACATCTAATAAATCCTAATGATGACACACTTCAACAAAATCCAATCATATAGACAGTCACAGCATGCTTAGGCTGCTCACGATACATACATTTTTGACTGATTTCAGGTTCTCATGACAATCAGTGATATCATATGGTGTATTATAGATTCTATCACGGTGTACTATCATATGCACTATAAACTGTATGTTTATAAGTGACCAACTCAACTCAACACACAGTGGATACGGGATGTGTTGTTAGGGCCCCCTTGAACACAAAGGTACATTTTTCACATAACTCCTTATGATGATTTACAAGAATTAGAGGGTCTTCACACTTACTACACTTTTTGCAAAAATACCCTCGGCTACACATATTACTGAACTTGCGACCTTGTCGCTTCTCGACCGCTACATCCGGACGTAGCACACGACACTCGCCTGACAGTTGCCCCACTCTAAGCAGGGCAGTGTAAACAGTTGTCTCGTTGAACCAATAGTCTTACATAAAAAAATGTAATAGTTGAGCAACATTTTGAAGCAACTCCAAATCAAATATTTGTCACCTGCATGGTAAACAACAGGTGTAGACTAACAATGAAATGCTTACTTACGGGCCCAATGCAGAGCGAAACATTTAGAAATAATCGAAAAATAATAACACGAGGAATAAATACACAATAAGTAACGAAGACTTGGCTATATACACGAGGTACCAGTACCAAGTCTATGTGCAGGGGTACGATGTAATTGAGGTAGATATGTACACATAGGTAGGGATAAAGTGACTAGGCAACAGGATATATAAACAGTAGCAGTAGCGAGTCAGAAGAATTAGTGCTAAAAGGGTAAATGCAGATAGTCCGGGTAGCTATTTGGTTAACTATTTAACTAACTATTTAGCAGTCTTATGGCCTGGGGGTAGAAGCTGTTCAGAGTCCTTTTGATTCAAGATTTGGTGCATCGGTACCACTTACTGTGCGGTCGGATGCCAAGCAGTTGCCATACCAAGCTGTGATGCACCCAGTCAAGATGCTCTCAATGGTGCAGCTGTATAACCTTTTGAGGATCTGAGGGCCCATGCCAAATATTTTCAGCCTTCTTCACGACTGTGTTGGTGTTTGGACCATGATAATTCCTTTGTAGCCTCTGCCGAGTCCCCAACAACCTCCTGAGGGGGAAGAGGCATTGTCATGCCTTCTTCTCGACTGTGTTGGTGTGTGTGAACTATAATAATTCCTTAGTGACGTGGACACGAGGAACTTGAGGCTCTCGACCTGCTCCACTATAGCCCTGTCGATGTGGATGGGGGCATGCTCAGCTGTCCGTTTCCTGTAGTCCACGATAAGCTTCTTTGTCTTGCTGACATTGAGGGAGAGGTTGCTGTCCTGGCACCACACTACCAGGTCACTGATCTCTTCCCTATAGGCTGTCTCATTGTCGTCGGTGATCAGCCCAACCACTGTTGTGTCGTCAGCAAACTTAATGATGGTGTTGGAGTCATGCCCGGCCACGCAGTCGTGGGTGAACAGGGAGTACAGGAGGGGACTAAGCTTTTACCAAATATGATTTTTTTCTCATATAATGACTTCCATGATATTGATCAAATTAAGCCTGGTTTGTTCTACGATAAATGTTATACGCTAACTAGTGTAAGAGCTCCTATCTAGCTATGGTTCAGCTAAACGTCAGCTAACAGCCAGCACGTTGATGTGAGGAGGATGCAGAAATTATTTTGCTTAGCTAGCTAACGTTAGCTGGCTGTGTAGCCTATATTATAATATAAATAACACTGTATGATAATGTTTCTGTACTTTTATATTCATAGCTATGGGAGGGGTAAATGTTCATTATTACCACGCTAACATTACTGGATCATGAATCATGTTGTTACTTAGCTATCTTTCTAGCTAACTTGCAGAAGTTAGCTGTGTATTGTCAACTCATTTAATGTGTATGGATGAGAAAATAAACCCATTCATTGTCTACACATGCTTGTGGATTGTTGCATTATTCAAGAGTGTAATATGGTTTGGTAAAATTATTCAATAGTGTAATATGTTTTAGAAGAAAAGTTGCTTGGATTGTTAAATAGTTTGTGCTTACTGTCTATTGGCTATTGTGATATTTACGGTCAATTTGAGCTGCGGACCAAGAATGTTGTCTTGACAGCCACAACGAAAGGTAAAGCAAGGCAAGGATATAAAGTAAAAATCGCTTTCGCCAATCCACTCCTCAGACTCTCCTTCATCTATCGTAGTGGGAATAGGGCCTTAGAATAGAGAGACAGATATACTGTAGAGACTGAGGGTCTTCACACAGACTGCAGTTTCCTGCACCATGAGGAAGGTACACATCCACCAATAGCGGGGAAACTGTTACTACGCATATGGATACTAAAGACTATGGAAACTAAAGCCTATGGAAACTAAAGCCTATGGAAACTAAAGCCTATGGATACTAAAGCCTATGGAAACTAAAGCCTATGGAAACTAAAGCCTATGGAAACTAAAGCCTATGGAAACTAAAGCATGTGGATACTAAAGCCTATGGAAACTAAAGCCTATGGATACTAAAGCCTATGGAAACTAAAGCATGTGGATACTAAAGCCTATGGATACTAAAGCCTATGGAAACTAAAGCCTATGGATACTAAAGCCTATGGAAACTAAAGCCTATGGAAACTAAAGCCTATGGAAACTAAAGCCTATGGAAACTAAAGCCTATGGAAACTAAAGCCTATGGAAACTAAAGCCTATGGAAACTAAAGCCTATGGATACTAAAGCCTGTGGATACTAAAGCCTGTGGATACTAAAGCATGTGGATACTAAAGCCTATGGAAACTAAAGCATGTGGATACTAAAGCCTATGGAAACTAAAGCCTATGGATACTAAAGCCTATGGAAACTAAAGCATGTGGATACTAAAGCCTATGGAAACTAAAGCATGTGGATACTAAAGCCTATGGAAACTAAAGCCTATGGAAACTAAAGCATGTGGATACTAAAGCCTATGGATACTAAAGCCTATGGATACTAAAGCCTATGGAAACTAAAGCCTATGGAAACTAAAGCATGTGGATACTAAAGCCTATGGATACTAAAGCCTATGGATTCAGTACTGATAATGTACTCAGAATTGAGGTTGAATTCTTTAAGTTTATTGCATAAAGCATTGTGTAGTGTTCAAAGTATTATAGCAACAAAAAAAACTGAGAGAAAAACACAAAATAATGTTTAAAGTGTAAAGCATGATACATAAAAGCTGCTATATACATTGCATACAGCTTCTTGCATAAACCAACCACATAGGCTCTGTATTCTGATTGTGCTAAGGAGTGAAGCAAGCAGCAGCAAGACACAGTGACATGATATAGAATCCACTAGATTACCTCCCAAACCTCTACTATTCTTATCTATTGCTGGTGGGGAGGAGTGTGAGTACACTTCCAGAGCATTTGGAACACATGCAAGTGTAAGTGAAAAGTGTGACGTACAAATATTGCACATTATACAAAGCCATACACTTTTTCTACTGTCACTCCAGCTTAATGCAGGTTTTCTCTATTTGGAATAAAGCATTGCTTTCCTTTTCTTGTACATGGGACTGAGGTAGAACACTGCATCAGAGAGGAAGGTGGCCAGATAGGGAAAGGTATAGACGAAGAACATATTCAGCTTAGAGACCAACATGTCTGGCCACTGTCCTTGTAGCCTGTTATACTGTACATGTACACACAAATACAAATAAGCATTCACTAACATTTCCGGCAGGTTAGCGGTTTTCATCATGAATCTTGTTCTCAAATCAAATCAAATCAAATTGTATTTGTCACATGCGCCAAATACAACAGGTGTAGACCTTACAGTGAAATGGTTACTTACAAGCCCTTAACCAACAATGCAGTTTTAAGAAAAATAAGTGTTAAGTAAACAATAGATAAAAAAATGAAAGCAGTAAAATAACAGTAAAAATAACAGTAGCGAGGCTATATACAGGGGGTACCGGTACAGAGTCAATGTGCGGGGGCACCGGTTGGTCGAGGTAATTGAGGTAATATGTACATGTACAGTGGGGAAAAAAAGTATTTAGTCAGCCACCAATTGTGCAAGTTCTCCCACTTAAAAAGATGAGAGAGGCCTGTAATTTTCATCATAGGTACACGTGAACTATGACAGACAAAATGAGGGAAAAAAATCCAGAAAATCACATTGTAGGATTTTTAATGAATTTATTTGCAAATTATGGTGGAAAATAAGTATTTGGTCAATAACAAAAGTTTCTCAATACTTTGTTATATACCCTTTGTTGGCAATGACACAGGTCAAACGTTTTCTGTAAGTCTTCACAAGGTTTTCACACACTGTTGCTGGTATTTTGGCCCATTCCTCCATGCAGATCTCCTCTAAAGCAGTGATGTTTTGGGGCTGTCGCTGGGCAACACAGACTTTCAACTCCCTCCAAAGATTTTCTATGGGGTTGAGATCTGGAGACTGGCTAGGCCACTCCAGGACCTTGAAATGCTTCTTACGAAGCCACTCCTTCGTTGCCCGGGCGGTGTGTTTGGGATCATTGTCATGCTGAAAGACCCAGCCACGTTTCATCTTCAATGCCCTTGCTGATGGAAGGAGGTTTTCACTCAAAATCTCACGATACATGGCCCCATTAATTATTTCCTTTACACGGATCAGTCGTCCTGGTCACTTTGCAGAAAAACAGCCCCAAAGCATGATGTTTCCACCCCCATGCTTCACAGTAGGTATGGTGTTCTTTGGATGCAACTCAGCATTCTTTGTCCTCCAAACACGACGAGTTGAGTTTTTACCAAAAAGTTCTATTTTGGTTTCATCTGACCATATGACATTCTCCCAATCCTCTTCTGGATCATCCAAATGCACTCTAGCAAACTTCAGACGGGCCTGGACATGTACTGGCTTAAGTAGGGGGACACGTCTGGCACTGCAGGATTTGAGTCCCTGGCTGCATAGTGTGTTACTGATGGTAGGCTTTGTTTCTTTGGTCCCAGCTCTCTGCAGGTCATTCACTAGGTCCCCCCGTGTGGTTCTGGGATTCTTGCTCACCGTTCTTGTGATAATTTTGACCCCACGGGGTGAGATCTTGCGTGGAGCCCCAGATCGAGGGAGATTATCAGTGGTCTTGTATGTCTTCCATTTCCTAATAATTGCTCCCACAGTTGATTTCTTCAAACCAAGCTGCTTACCTATTGCAGATTCAGTCTTCCCAGCCTGGTGCAGGTCTACAATTTTGTTTCTGTTGTCCTTTGACAGCTCTTTGGTCTTGGCCATAGTGGTGTTTGGAGTGTGACTATTTGAGGTTGTGGACAGGTGTCTTTTATACTGATAACAAGTTCAAACATGTGCCATTAATACAGGTAACGAGTGGAGGACAGAGGAGCCCCTTAAAGAAGAAGTTACAGATCTGTGAGAGCCAGAAATCTTGCTTGTTTGTAGGTGACCAAATACTTATTTTCCACCATAATTTGAAAATAATTCATTAGAAATCCTACAATGTGATTTTCTGGAAATTTTTTCCTCAATTTGTCTGTCATATTTGACATGTACCTATGATGAAAATTACAGGCCTCTCTCATCTTTTTAAGTGGGAGAACTTGCACAATTGGTGGCTGACTAAATACTTTTTTTCCCCACTGTAGGTATAGTTACTTCATCTGTATTGTTAGTGTTGATGTGGGAACACATCAGAGAATCAGTGTACAATGTGTCTCAGTATCTCTAGCCTTGGGTCTGATCAGGATCTAATCAGGGCTTTAGATCAGACAAATAGGGTTGTTACACACCTACACATGCCTTGATGTGCTCTCGGTCATAACAGAAAATGGGGTCATTCACAAACAGCGGATGTTCTCAAGCTCCCAGACATGTTTGTTTCTCAGTAAATAGGGTTTGCACTCTGCAGTTGAACACCTTCACTGCTGTATGTGTAAAATAAGAAATGTCACATTGCAGCTACAGGTACTGTGATGTTTATATCTTCTGTCATGGACTTGATTGTACAACATGAAAGAGTCATTCAATGACTAAATCATGATAGAAGGCCTACTACTTTTAGCAGAAATATTGTTTTTATTCTCCACTGGTGATAAACATGGAGGCGCAGAATGAGACGTACACAGACGAATGTCATTATGATGATTATTATGGCCCAGAAGACTGCACTAAATATTATCCTGATGATAACGAAACAGAATATATCTGTAAAGTGAATCTCAACCGTGATATGGAGATAGTCATTCAGACCTACGTCCATTCCTTCATCTGCGTATTCGGTCTCTGTGGCAATGCGTTGGTGATTGTCACATATGCCTTCTACAATATGCCTTCTACAAGAACCATGACGGACGTGTACCTTCTGAACGTGGCGGTGGCAGATCTGCTGTTCATACTGGCCCTGCCGCTCATCATCTACAACGAGCAGCATGACTGGAGCATGGGCTCAGCGGTCTGCAAGGTACGGGTTTGGACAGTTCCTGATGCAGTTCCTAATAAAGCTCCTGATATTTCAATGTCATTCATGTTACAGTGAAGTCAGATGCAGATTTCCTCATTGCATGGAATTATAAGAATGTGTTCTTCATTTTCTAAGGCCCTACGAGGAGCCTACAGCATCAACCTGTACAGTGGCATGCTTCTGCTGGCATGCATCAGTGGAGACCGCTACATCTCCATCGTCCAGGCCAGGCGCTCTTTCGGCCTCCGCTCCCGGACCCTGATCTACAGCCGCCTCATCTGCACAGCCATCTGGGCTCTGGCCGTAGCCCTGTCCATCCCCACAGTCATCTATAACGAGCAGGTTGAGGTGACCAACAGACTGGTAGAGACTATAGCTGTGTGCCAGGCGCAGTTTGAAAGTAACGAAACCGCCCGGCTGATGAAGGTGTGGGGTTCTTCCTGCCCCTCCTGGTCATGGTCCTCTGCTATGCCAGCATCGTCTGGACCCTGCTGAGGGCCCACAGCACCCAGAAGGTTCCAGTAGCCACTAAAGTTCCAGCCATAGAATTAGAGTGTTTAATTCTAAGAATACAATCAATGTTTCTTATAGGGTCAATTAAAGTTGATCTTTCTCTATCTTCTCTCACATAAGGCAGTGTGTGTGGTCCTAGCCGTGGTGGTGCTCTTCATTGTGTGCCACCTGCCCTACAACGTGGCCCTGCCCTGTTCCAGCAGAGGGAGTGTGAGGTGGAGAAGGTCATCCTCACCACCCTCACCATCACCATCACCAGGAGCCTGGCCTACCTCCACTGCTGCCTTAACCCCATCCTTTCAACACCACAACAAAACAACAACCAAAATGAAACGTGACGTCCAAGGTAGACCACACAACATACCTTACACGGAACAAGATCCCACAACTACACAGTGCCAATAGGCTGCCTAAATATGATCCGCAATCAGAGACAACGAGCGACAGCTGCCTCTGATTGGGAACCACACCGGCCAACATAGATCTATACATACTAGAATACAACATAGAAAAAGCACAACAAGGAATATACACACCCTGACTCAACATATAAGCGTCCCCTGAGTCAGGGCGTGACACCCTATTGCTTACACCTATCAAGTTGTTTCAAATCTACACAAGTGCCTAGGGAGGAGGGGTTAAGGTTTCTTCTGGATAGGGCCTAACTATACTGGCCCAATAAGCACATGCCCTAGAAATAGACCTTATTGGGACAGTGGTTAGGGTGTTTGCCATTGATGCTGGTGGCCTGGGTTTGAAACCTGCTAGGGGAGTCTCCCTGCTATCACATTCTTGCCGTGTTGATTGTCTATATGTACATTTCATTAGAACACTTGGAAATATTATTTATGCATCTTTGTTTATTACCATAATTTATATAGATTTCTCTTTCATGCATTTCTGGAACTTTCGCTACCAGCTTTGTGCCTTTGTGCACAACCTCCAAATGCTTTTTCAGGTTTGATGTGGTGTTTCTGGACGAAGAGATCAATGCTGCCTTTGCAGAGTTTGCATTTGACTAAAATGTTGTTCTCTTCTCCTCGATTAACTCAAAATAATTGGAGCATTTCCACTAGGAAAAGGTTAAGCCGGGTAAGAACACAGTTGCATCTTTTTTAGATTTTCAGCTTTAAGATAGCCTATTGGAAACGAGTTAGCCTACAGCATGAATTCCATTAGCATGAGACAAGGCTTTAAAAAAGATATATAACACACCAGTAGAGATATGCATCTGAAAGTAATATACTGGTTATTTGAAAAAGTAACTGTAATAATGTTACAAGATTTGAAGACAGTAATTTGTTATATTATTCCGTTACTCATAAGGTAATATATATTATATATATATATGTATATACAGTTGGGCCCAGTACAGGGCCCGGTGAATTTGGGGGGTTGAAAATCCATTCAGCCATTGTGGCATGGTGACTCACTACCCAAACCACACGCAACTGATTTCAAGTGGCCAAGAAAAGTAATGTGATCTCCTACTGCTCTCTAGGGGACGAACTGGGAATCAGACAGAGGATAGGTAGAGACTTCAGCTTTCTCATCATATGTATATCATTCCTGTAAGACAAAAAATGAAGGTATGGCACATTGCACATGCCTGCACTATTAAAATGGCTGTGTTCCAATAGGAATTTGCGCATGTTTAGAGCGCCACCATTAGGTAATTTTTTTTTTTAATTAACATTCCTTTTGGAACAGTAATTGGTGACATATTTTATCTCAAAACTAGACATTCAAATCTCTTATTCCCCAACATGGGGACAATTGGGGTTCTGCCGTATCTCGGGCTCTGTAGTAGTCACATTGTTTCTGACACCTTTATCTGAATCCCACAGTTCTTACCTTTCTAACAGCATGTGTTTGTAGGACTTATAGTTTTGAAACCAAAATATACTTTATGAGGGTAGTATATAATATTATGTGTCGTTTAGAAATTTATTTTTTTTGAAAATGCCACCAGAGGGGGTCAGTTTAACAGGACCTGGTGGCATAGCAGGAAGATCAGAGTATTGTGAACCAAGTGGTTGTGAGTTCAAATCCCAGGTGAGGCCATGATGAATAATAATTATTGTAACTGAACATGCACAATCTACAGAAATCATGTATGCCAAAGTTGAAAGCACTGTGTGTGTGAGTATCCCTAACTTTGCCAACAGACAAAGAGCTATCAGTGGTTCGCTTGATTGGCTCAGTAATGTTTTTGTTTTTTTGACACATTTACATACATTTACATTTACGTCATTTAGCAGACGCTCTTATCCAGAGCGACTTACAAATTGGTGCATTCACCTTATAGCCAGTGTGACAACCACTTTACAATGTTTTTTTTTCGTATTTTTATTTTTTATTTTTTAAATATATACATATATATTATTATTTTTTTTTGGGGGGGGGGGGGGTGGGTTGGGGTACGGGGGGGGGGGGGGGGGGGGGGGGTAGAAGGATTACTTTATCCTATCCTAGGTATTCCTTAAAGAGGTGGGGTTTCAAATGTCTCCGGAATGTGGTGAGTGACTCCGCTGTCCTGGCGTCGTGAGGGAGCTTGTTCCACCATTGGGGTGCCAGAGCAGCGAACAGTTTTGACTGGGCTGAGCGGGAACTATGCTTCCGCAGAGGTATGGGAGCCAGCAGGCCAGAGGTGGATGAACGCAATGCCCTCGTTTGGGTGTAGGGACTGATCAGAGCCTGAAGGTACGGAGGTGCTGTTCCCCTCACAGCTCCGTAGGCAAGCACCATGGTCTTGTAGCAGATGCGAGCTTCAACTGGAAGCCAGTGGAGTGTGCGGAGGAGCGGGGTGACGTGAGACACATAAATGTTCTTGCATTATTCCCATGAAACATGTCTAGAACATTAATATCTTATATTCTGAGAACATGGCAACCATGTTCTGTGTATATTTTGTGGGAAGTTGATGGAATAGGCTCCTAACCCACAGAAAACTGTCCATATGGATGTTCTTGCAATGTTCTAATTTAATGTATCTAGAACATTAATATCTTATGTTCTGAGAACATGTCAACCATGTTCTGTGTATGTTTGGTGGGACATTGATGGAATATTCTCCTAATGCACAGAAAACTGGACACACCCTTACAAAAAAAGATAGCATTTTTGAAACTGCAGTAAAAGTGCAGTAACTTAAGTCAACTGTGGTATTTTGGACGCAGTAATTGCAGAATAACTGCAGTGTTCTGCACTTGAACTGCAGTTATACGGCACTCTAACTACAGTTACACTGCAGTGTACTGCAATTATACTGCACTCTGACTGCAATCTTTTTTCGTAAGGGCATGAATGTTCTTGCAACGTTCTAGAACATGAATATCTTAAGTTCTGAGAACATCTTAACCTCGTTCTGGGTAAGTTGTATTTTACATTAAGGGAATGGTATCTTGGTGTCACGATCGTCTAAGGAAGCGGACCAAGGCGCAGCGTGTTTAGCGAACATGTTGACTTTATTAAATTAAAGCAACCACGAAAACAACAAAACAAATGACGATAGTGAAGTCCACAGTGACAAAGACTGAACATGGAACAAAAACCCACAAACACAAGGTGAAAACACACAGTTTAAATATGGCTCCCAATCAGAGATAACGAGCCGACAGCTGACACTCGTTACCTCCGATTGGGAGTCATTTAATACAAACAAGGAAAACCACCCACATAGACAACCCAACCAAAACACAACAAAACGAACACACCCTGGCTCAAAACAACAGTCCCGGAGCCAGAGCGTGACAGTACCCCCCCCTAAAGGCGCGGACTGCGACCGCGCCTCAATAAGGCTAAACAAGGGAGGGCTGGGTGGGCATACCTCCTCGGCGGTGGTTCTGGCTCCGGCCCTGATCCCCACCTCCTCTTCAACCCCCCAAAGTACCCCTGGTCCTGTCTAGCCCCGCTGGTCGGAGCCGGACTGACGACACGCGCCTCTGGCTTGGTGCGTGTAGGAGGAACGAGCTGGACCAGGCTGACGACTCGCATCCCTGGTTTGGTGCGAGTAGCAGGAACGGGCTGGACCAGGCTGACGACGCGCACCACTGACCTGGTGCGGGGAGCAGGACTGAGCCGGACCGGGCTGACGACGCGCACCACTGACCTGGTGCGGGGAGCTTGGATGGGCCGGACTGGGCTGGCGACGCGCACCACAGACTTGGTGCGGAGAGCAGAAACGGGCCGGACAGGGCTGGCGACGCGCACCACAGACTTGGCGCGGAGAGCAGGAACGGGCAGAGCCGGGCTGACGAGACGCACCACAGACTTGACGCGGGGAGCAGGAATGGGCCGGACCGGGCTGGCGATGCGTACCCCCGACCTGGTGCGGGGAGCAGGAACGGGCAGAGCCGGGCTGACGAGACGCACCACAGACTTGATGCGGGGAGCAGGAATGGGCCGGACTGGGCTGGCGACGCGCACCGCAGGTTCGATGCGGGGAGCAGGAATAGACCGGACCGTACTGGGGACACACACCACTGGTTCTACACCGGGCTCTGGAACGGGCCGGACCGGACTGGCAACACACGCCAGTACCTCTCGCCGTGCCTCCACACCTTCCATCCCCTCTTCTACCAGTGGCCCCCGTAACCCGGCGGCCTTCTCCGGCAACCCACTGGACCGCTCTATCGCGGCCTCCTGCTGGTCCGCCGTCGTGAGCCCCCCCCTAAAATTTTTCGGGGCGTCTCTCCTACCCGTGGACCACTTCTCCATATCCCTCGCCAGCTTCTCGCCCTTCTGCCATAACGTCAAGCCCTTGTCTTCCTCCCTCGGCTTGACCCAGTCCAGGAGGCGAAGGAGATCTGTGAGGGATCTCCCTGGCGATGGCTCCGGGACACGATGCTTGGTCCCATCTTGGTGGGTTTTTCTGTCCCGATCGTCATACATAGAGGAGGAGGACCAAGGCGCAGCGTTGAATGTGAACATAATATTTATTTGAATGATCACCCGATCAAAACAACAAAACAACGACGTGA